TTACTACGCGTGGAATTACTACGCATTGGAGTCACCACGCGTGGAATTGCTACGCGTGGAATTAGTACACTACGCGTGGAATTAATACGCGCTGGAGTCACCACGCGTGGAATTACTACGCGTGGAATTAATACGCGCTGGAGTCACCACGCGTGGAATTACTACGCGTGGAATTAATACGCGCTGGAGTCACCACGCGTGGAATTACTACGCGTGGAATTAATACGCGCTGGAGTCACCACGCGTGGAATTACTACGCGTGGAATTACTGCGCGTTAGAATAACCACGCGTANACGCGTTGAAGTCACCACGCATGGAATTACTACGCGTGGAATTACTATGCGTTGGAATCACCACGCATAGAATTACTACGCGTTGAATTACCACGCGTGGAATTACTACGCGTTGGTATTACCATGCGTTGAATTACTACGCGCTGAATAACCACGCGTGGAATTACTTCGCGCCACTAGATTCGAAGCTGTCGCTCTCGCGCCTGCGCACGCGTAAGTCACCACGCATGGAATTACTACGCGTGGAATTACTACGCGTTGGAATCACCACGCATAGAATTACTACGCGTTGAATTACCACGCGTGGAATTACTACGCGTTGGTATTACCATGCGTTGAATTACTACGCGCTGAATAACCACGCGTGGAATTACTTCGCGCCACTAGATTCGAAGCTGTCGCTCTCGCGCCTGCGCACGCGTAATCCTCACACTCTGATTCAACCCTGTTTTTCCTTAATAATTCAAAAACAAAGCTTCAAACCCCATTTTCGTAAAGGGAAATCTTATTCAGAATCACGTCAGCTACATCCCATTTCAAGGACACTAGTTATGAGACACCCTGTATACCCAGTTATGAGAATTATTGGATTTCAGATAAGCAAAACTGTCACATATGCGACGAGATATTGGAAGGATTAGAAAGGATCGACGACGAGTGCGACGTGTTTGGCATCCACCTGGTAAAAATCCAAGATCCTCAGCTAGCCAAACGGTACTCGATCAAAACGTACCCTGCGCTGGTTTATTTTAGAAACGGCAATCCTCTTTTGTTCGAAGGTTCCTCTTCTTTCTCAATTATCGGTACCGGTGCAATTCAGCATTGATTAATCTTGCGATATTGTACAACAGGTGACCTACAAAATGAAGAATCGGTGCTCGAGTGGTTAATCGACGATGACAATCGAGAGCTCGCCGATGAAATCGAATCTGTTAACGACAGGATGCTGGAGAGACTTCTTGACGAATCTCCATTCCTCGCTGTCTTCTTTTGTAAGTTGAAATTAGTTCATTTATTAAATTATCATTTTTATTCGATTATGAATGAAATTTTTAAATGAATAAATGTTTCAATGTCTCATCGTGTTGATCAGATGACGAAGACTGTCCCGAGTGCGACGAGATCATGGAGGCCCTAGAAAAAATCGACGGCGAAGCCGACTTATTCGGTATCGACTTCGTGAAGATCTTCAGTCCAGAGGTCGCAGAAAAATACGGAATCCTAAACGTTCCTTCGCTCGTTTATTTCCGTAAAAAGACCCCGCTGATCTACGACGGCGACCTAACTCAAGAGGACAAGATTCTCCAATGGCTAACTTCTCAAGATGTCTTCGAGATCAAGAACGAAATCGAGGAAGTGAACAAAAAGATGTTGGACAAGTTGCTGGACGAAAACGAGTTCCTTGCTGTCTTCTTCTGTAAGCGAATTTCAAACGTTCGATTTCAAATAGACTGACGATGATTTTAACCACGAAATTTGTAGATGAACACGACAGCAAAGAGAGCGAAGAAGTGAACGAGAAGTTGGAGAACATCGACGGAGAAACGGACAATCTGGACATCACGTTCGTCAAGATGGCGGACCCGAGATACGCCAGGAAATGGGGAGTCACCAAACTTCCCGCCATTGTTTATTTCCGCAAGAGATTCCCCAGTATTTATCGAGGTATTTATTCTTTAGAAATTTTGTAGTTGATTGAAAGGATCTTTCAGTATAGTATGATGGTACAGATTGGTACACGTTGTAAGATAATCTTGTTTCGTTTCCATAAAAGGTGATCTACACAAAGAACAGGACGTTCTGGAGTGGCTGCGCAAGAACAGGTACCGTCAGCCGGAACTGAACATCTACATGTACATGCTGATCGCCATAACCGTCCTGTTCGCCATGTACACCGGTTTCCTGTTGTCGTGTTTCCGTTCGGAGCCAGCCGCACCCGCGCCGCATCCGAAGCAAGCGTGAAAACTCGTGTGAAAGAGAGCCGGGAAATGCAAGATGAAATAGAGAAGATGAGAGAGCGAAAGAGTAAACGGACTGTTGTTGAGTGAATGTACGTTGTTGTTGTTGCTCCGACTCGCTTTATGTAAGATTAACGAGGGTCGTTCGTCAGGAACGATTGCGACCCGAATCGAGGGCTCGACGAGGACAACGACGAAACCGGTCGATCGACCGTTTCTCTTAGCCAACGAACAAGGATTTTTTGCGTCGAGAATACTGATTTGATATCGTCCGTGAATTCCGTGAGCGCGCGCTATGTTTTGCTAACGTGGACCAAATCCGTCGAGTTTCTTTTTTTTTTTTTTCTTCTAGAAAGCTTTAGACCTCTGTCAAGATGGCGCGAACGACTTAAGGGGTTGCGAGACACAAATGATATTGCTCCAAGTATTCCAGACGAATTGTTAGTGTTCATAAGTATGTGTAAAATATATTGCTACACGTTTGCTGTACTGTCACGTTTATGGAAATTATGTATCGTGGCACTTTCTTTCTTTTTTTCGTTTAATTGTGTCGCTTTGTAACGATAGGGTGTATTGTATATTCCGACCATTTTTCTATTGAGCTGATTATTTGCGAACACGTGGAATTTCTTGCGTTTTTAGGGTGAAAATTGATATACGTTATTATTTGCTATTTATGGATTGTTGCTAGACGACGATTGTCGATAATTAATCACGATATCTGTTACGACGTTTCACTGGCGTAACTACTTTTGACAGCGGTCTTATTTTAGCCATGGAATCACCGTTGGTCCACGCGCATTACGTTCATCACGAGGGTGATTGTCGTTTTATTCGGAGACTTTAACTGAAATACAAAATACAAAATTATACATATTTTTATAACAATATCCTTCGTAACAACTAGCGTCAAAAGTATAGACTTTCTACTTGTACTTCATAGATGTCTGATAAAAAATATTCTAAAATAAATTTTCCTAAATTGAGTTTACGTATTTTTAGAGCTTTTATTTTAATTCTTGCGAAGATATTTTGTACTTCGATTTGAGTCTCTGATGTAATTAGCGATCTGCGTGTCTTTTCGGGCGAAAATAATCACGACGATTCAATCGTCACCGACTTCCGCTGAACAAACGAGAAGGTGTATACGAAACGATTAATATACTTGCCTATTGATATTGTCAGAAAGGCTTAACGATGTCAACGTAATCAGGAGGAATAAAGAACGAACTATTGGACCAATTCCAAACCGTTAAAATGCCACTTCCATCTGCCAATAATTATAATAAATAATGTATAATAGTGTGAACGATGCGTTATAAAGAAAAAGTAAATACGACGATTTTTCTTTTATTTAATGTTTCAATTTTTTTTTTGTTCTTCGTTTGATTCTGTTCGCAGAATTATACGTAAAGTTATTATTAATATACGCGCATACGTAATTTAGCTCTTTTGGATACTTGAGTTTAGGAACTTCGTTGGTATTTCGCATATGTATTCGACAAATGAATTGAATTTTCGAAATACAACTGAGATTATTTTAACGTGTACTTGCCTTAATTAATTACCCTCTTTTGATAAAAAAGAAATATAAATCAGTAGAATGAAAGAATCTTCTTAACGCCAGATTTAAATTTGCCGCCATTGCGGACCTAACCAAACCTGAGTCAATGCTGCCAACTCCCGAGAGTTGACTGCTGCTGTGTGTTCGATGGTTGGCAATTTCTTTACGTCGCGGAAGAATGGCGGATGCGTAAGTGTCGTCGAGAAGCTTAAATAAATCTATAAACATCCTTCGCTAGAGTGCTTATAATAATTCAGAAATGTGTTATTATCGATTCTGTTTAAATTCTGAATCATATAAGCATCGTAGTTTTCTTCTTTCTCAGAAAAATTATGCACTTTTGTTCTGTGCCGACACCTTGTGCCATTCACCAACATGAAATGAAATATAAATAATATTCCTTCACTAAAGATTATTAATTCTGTAATGATACGTTACTTCTTGTTTCGTGGTAAATCAAATTTGTGTGTTTATTGTTTGAAATAATCGTGTACTGTTTGTTAGAACCTAACCTAACGTAAAGCACTTGTACCACGCGACTTGTTAGATTCATGTATACATGATATGCATTGAACTGTTTATAATGTTAATGGTAATTTGTACAGACCAAAGGAAACAGCTCCTCCAGCTAAGAAGCTGCCGGCAGTACCGGAATCGGTACTTAAGAGGAGGAAGACTCGTGTAGCTGTGAAAGCTGCGCGTCTTCAAGTAGCTCTCAAGGTACATTTACTTCATTTTTCATAGTATTTTATGTAATATACAGTAATAATTATGCAGTTATTTTCCAAAACTTATAGAGACGTGCAAGTCAGTATAAGAAGAGGAAAGAAATTTTCAAGAGAGCAGAAAAATATGTCAGAGAATACAGAAGGAAGGAGCGAGATGAAATCAGATTGATGAGACAGGCTAAGAATCGTGGAAACTATTATATCCCTGGAGAAGCACGCCTTGCTTTTGTTATCCGTATTCGGGGGTGAGTTATATTTCTTCAGTAATACTTCATTCGATTAAGATTTATGCAGTGCATGACCAATTATTATTATTTCAGTGTGAACCAAGTTGCTCCAAAAGTACGTAAAGTACTTCAACTATTCCGTCTCAAACAGATCAATAATGGCGTATTCATGAAATTAAACAAAGCAACTATTAACATGCTCCGTATTGTTGAGCCTTATATCACTTGGGGATATCCAAACCTGAAGTCAGTCAGAGAGTTGATTTATAAGAGAGGATTTGCTAAGATCAATAGGCAACGTATTCCTATTACCAGCAATGCTGTTATTGAGAAAAAACTTGGTCAGTATTAATTTCACTTAATTGTTATATTTTAATAGATTGACAAGTCCATGGAAGTTACATTTACTAGCTTAAGTGACTCCCTTCCATCTTGTCAAAGAATAATTGAATCCCTTTATCACCCTTTTGTATAAATTACATTGTGGTTTTATAGATTCATACAAATAACATTTATAATTGAACTGAATTTTATTATTAACCAAATTAAATTATTACAGGCCGCTTTGGTATTATTTGTGTGGAAGATTTAATCCATGAGATATTCACAGTAGGATCAAAGTTCAAGTTTGCAAGCAATTTCCTGTGGCCATTCAAGGTACATAACTTCATAGATTCTTTATGCGCGACATAGGCATGGTGGTAGAAATATTTATTGTTCTATCAACCTCCTACTATGTCGTAGAGTAACATGAGTTTCTCTTTATGGCATGCATGTACTTTTGCATATCTTAGTCGAACTCAAACATTTCAACAACCACTTAAATAGTTATGCATAAATATTCGACTTTTTAAACGCTAATTTCGATCTTCGGATTTTTAGCTTAACACACCCACTGGTGGATGGCGTAAGAAGACTAACCACTATGTTGAAGGTGGTGATTTTGGAAACCGTGAAGATAAAATCAATGAGCTCCTCAGGAGAATGGTTTAAATTTATAACAATCTTGATAAATAAATGTTTAAATACAACAAGTTATTTTGCATTGAATTTTACTTCTAGAAGGATAATCGAATATCTGGGTTAATCATATCACTTTTTTCATTTCATACATACATCATTTATTATATAGAAATTCAATGGAATAGTCAATGCTACAATTGATTGTTTCAGTAAACTTTATTTACTTTCTAAATACAAAACTATTGTACTATATCACAATAAGCTATAGCGCGTGTACGGAAAATGATGCAGGTTCTTAATGTAAATACTAATCAATAAAAACGTATAACAGATCGGTCAATTTTTTCTCACGAAAAACGTGGTACTGTCTTTTGTTATAATACTTGCATTCACTTAAGAATATCGAACACAAGATAAAACCCATATCTCGGTTATCTAACAGTAACGCAACGTTACGTTTTTGTAACATTTTTCATTTTGCCTATTTCTTTTCCATTAACATTGATGATCGGAAAAAATATGTGCAAGTAATGTCCGTAATACTGATACAAATGAACAGATCTCTGTTCCATTTTATTTATCGTTACTATTGTTTATTAAGTACCGGAAACTGCTTGTACTGGAATTTGATATAAAGAATAGCTTTGATGAATCGCTATTACTATAAATATTTTTGATTATCTGTTCTCATAATTGTAATTGAATTATTTTATTCTCATGTTGAAGGAGTGCGTAATTGCACTACACAGGATCGACTTCCAAAAGTAAGTATATCATGTAACATTTTTTAAAGACAAATTGTTAAAATGAATTTACTTTCACTTGAGAGTTTTTCAATGTACTCTGTATTTGAATAATCATGTTTGAGCATTGTCATGTTAAATAAAAGATATAAGCATCTTTTGGATTGTCAACGCGAAGGTATTTTGTCGTATGTCATTTTTTGGGAAGATTCTTTAGATTGTACAAGAGCATGTTCGTAAGTTATTTCAGCGCAAAGTTATTAAATGATAATTCTTTCTTATGCATCACCGTTACGATTTAAGTTCTCATTTACAAATGATCAGATTCGAAGGCTGCGTTCGCGACACCGTTCATCGTAGGAACTTCCGTCTTCTTCTCGCCGGCAGTCTGCCATTTTTCAGTCTTCGAATCGTTTTCATCCGCTTCTTCGACCTTACTTTTCGCTTTCTTGTCTTCTTCCAATAGTTTACGATCTCTTCTGTGTTCCGTGTATAACCATCTGTTGATAAAGTTGGGGGATTAGTGTCGAGGTTAAGATTACATTTTTGGGGAAATTTTGGAGCACAGTCATATTCTGATTCTGGCTACATTTTGCAAACAAGATCATTTTTGGCAAAAGAAGATATCTGTGAAAATGAATTAAAAACTTTTACCATTCCAATGATGTTCTCTATATGACCGACGAGGCACAGTATAGTGAGTGAACTGTTTTGAACATATAATCCGTATCTTTAGACCCAGGAAATATATTTTAGACATCATAAAATCAATATTAATAAATATTTAGCATATTAATTAATAAAATCGATAATAATTGCATTTTTTTTTAAATTGAACAAGTGGCGCCATCTCTCCGACGAACAGGATGAACTACACACTTTTAAAACTGTAGTTTCGTTAGTTCCCGAGACTGTCACCAGATGGCGCAATGCTTCCGGTTCAATTCAAACATTATAGTTGATTTTAGATTTTAATTTACTATAATATGAATTGAATTAAATTGAAGTGCAAGATTAATTAATCTTTAATTTTTCTGGCTTTACTATTATCAATTTTAATTAGATTAATATTAATTGCGGTTAAGTTTCTGTAATATGGGTCGCCACCTGGCGGTGGAGGATGGGAACTAACTAAACTCCAGTTTCAAAAGTGTGTACTTCACCCTGTTCGCCGGAGAGATGGCGCTACTAGTTCTATTTTTTTTTAATTCAATTAATATTGATTTTATTGATTAATATGCTGTATATTCATTAAATATTTATTAATATTGATTTCATTGACCAATATGCTATATATTTATTAGTATTGATTTTATGCTGTCTATAATATACTCCTTGGATCTGTATCCTCAGAACAGTTCGCGCACTATACTCTACTTCATCGATGATATAAGAAATGTCATAAAAATGACAGTTTGTAAACAAAGTCGATACTGTTCAAGTGACTATTATTTGTTTTTTCAATAATAAGTTAAAGTTGTGTATAAGTGTGCTACCTAAACGACCTCCATAAGAAGAAGATATAGGAAGAGTAACAAAAAATTAAAACCGACGGTAAAAGCGGAAGTGGAAGAACTTACAAGAACGCGAAGACTGCCGGCATAGTCAGACAGGCGCCAACAATGAAGAATGTCCCCGGAAACGTTTTCATAGTGGCAGCGTAAATGGAACTGTACATAGGACCGTAAACGAGCGGCATCATGGACTCGCAAACACCAAACAACGAGTTCACCTTGCCTGCAAATAATAAGGAGAATTAGGCTACCGTGATATTGCCAACAGTTTCTTTTACCTTCAACCCTGTTTCCTGATTCTGCGAGTAGTTACGTAAAGATCGAATAACGGGGCTAATACACGGTTGGATAAAACGAACAGGAGAGAGAAAAAAGTGAAGAAAAAGGAATCACTGTTTACCAAATACGAACCTCGTTAAACTTAGGCGTACACGGAAACGCACGCGGAAGATTGGTTGGAAACGGTGTCGAAAGTACAATGGAATTAAAGGTACTTGAGAACACTATTTACTTGATAATGAGGCTTTTATTTAATTGCGGTGTCTTAAAGTAATTTATAGCTTCTATATTTTAATGTAGAATGTTTTAATTTATAAAGATTTAACATTGCAAAGTTTTGGTTTGGAAAATTCCAAATATAAAAGCTTTTAAATTCTCAAGTTTCTAAAGCTAATTTAAATGCACAGTTTGTGTAAATTGTAACATGAGAAGGGAAGTGATTCGACCATCATTCCCGTTTTTGCAGAAAGTCTTTTACGCATTGCGAGGTTAGCCAACTCCATAAATAAAAAACCAAACTTTTTACCTTGATATTTTCTTTTATCATCGATACGATTAAACGTTCCTTTCACAATTACATTGTTTTTTCTCTAGTCTATCATCGAGTTATATAAGTCGATATTTTGCTAATTACATAAACATGGAGGCACGGCCGTAACGGTACGCGCTACGCGTTTCTCAAAAAAAAAGTTGTTTCGCAGTGTCATTCTGCAATATGTAGTCGATAAATAAAGCACATTTGCATTCTTACCGAGCTCGTCGGTGGCCACCAGTTTCGATGCTATCGATCTCATTGCTATAAAGGATGTTCCATTCACGATTTCTACGATGGCGGCTGAAACATAATCGCGGAAGTTAATTTATTTTCTTGATGAATTTTTTGATGAATTATATTTCTTTCTTGATAAATTTTTTTATGAGTTATATTTTCTTTCTTGATAAATTTTTTTGAATTATATTTTTTTCTTGATGAATTTTTTTGATAAATTATATTTCTTTCTTGATGAATTTTTTTGATTAATTATATTTCTTCCTTGATGTATTTTTTTGATTAATTATATTTCTTTCTTGATGAATTTTTTTGATTAATTATATTTCTTCCTTGATGAATTTTTTTTATTAATTATATTTCTTTCTTGATGAATTTTTTTGATGAATTATATTTCTTTCTTGATAAATTTTTTGATTAATTATATTTCTTTCTTGATAAAGTTTTTTGAATTATATTTTTTTCTTGATGAATTTTTTTGATAAATTATATTTCTTTCTTGATAAATTTTTTTATGAATCATATTTTCTTTCTTGATGAATTTTTTTGATTAATTACATTTCTTTCTTGATGAATTTTTTGATAAATTATATTTCTTCCTTGATAAATTTTTTTATGAATTATATTTATGTCTTAATAAATGATATCACAATTTATTTTACCTAAATAAATCATCCAATCGGTGGTAGCGAACGCATAAACGAAACCGGCTAATATTTTACTCATCGAACTCATGATTCCAACGATAGCATCATCGATCTTGAGGATGTGACTGAACACGCCGACAGATATTGCAGTTCCTGAAATAATTATCTTTGTTAACGTTGCCTTTCACTCATGGACCCGCGATTTGCACGGGAGTTGAGAAATCTAGGATAATTGTTGGTAATCTTACTCGTTGTATAACTCAGCATTTTTTATTCGAAGATGATCAATCATACTGAAGGACGTGAGATTGTGGATGAACTCGAATTTGTAAACCTTGTTTCTCAATTCCCGCCATTTTTTATCAGTCGAAAATTTCGATAGCTTGATGTGAAAATTAATTTTAGTGAGATGTTGGATGAAGATGATCTCAGATGAACCTTGTTTTTTAATGAATTCCCGCCATTTTTTATCGGTCGATAATTTTTATAATTATAGCTCGATTTGAAGATCATTTTTGAAGACTTGAAATTGTGAAACAACCTCAAATTTGTGAAATCAAATTTCTTAATGAATTCCCGCCATTTTTTGTCAGTCGAAAATTTTGTCTGACAATTATAGCTTCGAAGATCAATTTTAAATACGTGAGATTGTGGACGAAGACGAACTTCTGTATGACCACGCGCCATTTTTTGATCGATCGAAGGTTTCGGACCAAAATGGCCGACAGTTCCGGTCGACAGCGATTACCATTCGTTATATAACCGGTTCCGGTTGCTTTCGTAGTTCAATTGTGCAAAAAAGTGCTCGTTGAATCGTGCGAGGTTCGATTGCGGTTTTATCGAGGTCTTTTTGGTAAAGAGAAATATAATAATTTGCGAAAGAGTGTAAATAGCAGTAAGCTGTTCATTGAAGACATTAAAGATTTCTTCACATTTGTAATCGATAATAAAAAATGTTTGAAGTACAATTTCTGTAAAATTCTTTATTACATACAATTATATTTAAGTTACCTTTACCTCATAAATATATAAAAATTTATTTTTAAGTTTTCTATAGAAGATTTACTTAAAGACATAAAACTAAAGTACATAAAAATTAAAGTACATAAAAATTCTTAGCTATCAGTGTCAGAAAAAATATATTATAGTAACTGACATATGTATTTTGTGATATTTTTATAATATTCTGCTTTACTGGCAGATGGTTTTATTGCCTCAAGCGTCATAATTTGCTACAAAAAGCTACAATTTGCAAAAAACAGTAGCAAGAACAAATCTATTGCTTATAAAGACTTTTACTCCATATAAGGAATTTTGCAGAAGGTATTTTGTAACAGTGAATGGTGCACTCTCCTGAACGTCGCTGATTTATCACGAACGTATACGAGAAACCTTCAATCAACTGAAAGCATGTAATAACAGTGAAGAAACAGTGATTTAGAAAGAGGTAATTCAAGGGGATTCGCAGTACATTGTTGCACGTTATGCATCGTTGTAAATAGAAACAAGATACAATCATCTCTGCGTTCGATTGCAAGCAACATTTCCGTTGTGTGCCGTGGAAAAAAGAAGCAGCGAGGAATTGAATTTCATTATGGAAATCGATGGAATCGCGTTTCTACACGTGATCGATGACACTTCCTGATTATTACACGTTTATGCTCTTAGGTGGACAGAAAGTGGGGAAAATGAGGCATCGTGTGATGAATAATGCAGTGGAAAATGACACAAAATACCACCCTTAAGGATTTTATGTAAACGTAATACGTAACTGAATAAAAATAATTTTATTGTGACAAAATTTTATTTAACCCTCCATTTTGTGTTTGTGACATTCATTTACATTTTTTCAAGAATATTGAACTATTAATTCAGAAGATATCTGAATATATTCAAAATGGAACACTAAAGAGTATTTGTGTAAATCATAATTTACAACGACTTTATTACAAAAGGAGTTTGCATAATGCTATCAATTATCCATGATTAAACAGATAATAAATATAGACGAGGTATATTGTTTAGAGTGTATAGAAAATGTGTATATTCGCATAAATATTCGCAGTCTAATTATAACTTATGTAAGTCATTATTTAGAGAACCTTGAAATAGCTGTATTATCTCGAGTTATCTTTAAATCTTGAAAACTTGAGATAGATCAGTTGCAAGGATATAAAGAAATTGTTTCTTTACTTACCGATTAAATTCGTTACCATTGCGAACGTGGTGAACATGCTGAACATCACTTCGTTCCAGTGGTACCTGTATCTCGTGTAGAGGTACATCACTGCCATTTCACCTGAAACATTTTCATTAAATTTCTAATTTCATTTACTATTATTCGACGCAAGATGGCTGCGATAACAACAATTTTTTTATAAGTTTGTATTTTCTCAAGTTTGTAGATTTTTGAACTTTAAAGGGGTGAATTCTGAAATTTTCGAAATTGCAACATTTTGTGATCATTAAATTTGTCAAATTTAATTCCTTAGAGTTTTAGTTTCTAGAATTATTGAATTTTCTAGTTTTCAAGTTGGTGAATTTTTTTAATTTTCAAGTTTCACTGATTTGAGAATTCTTTAATTTTCTAGGGTTTCTAGATTCCCTAGATTTCTCTAACTTTCGAGTTCTTTAATTACCCCAGGTCCTACATTTCTTAGAATACAAAAATTTCCAAATCCTCTAATTAGTCGAATTCCTTAGATTTTTCAAAGTTTCGGATTTTCTAATTAACTTAAGTCTCACATCCCTAGATTACAAAAATTTCCAAATCCTCTAATTAGTCGAATTCCCTAGATTTTTCAAAGTTTCAGATTTTCTAATTAATTTAGGCCTTACATCCCTAGATTTCAAAAATTTCCAAATCCTCTAATTAGTCGAATTCCCCAGATTTGTCAAAGTTTCAGATTTTCTAATTAACTTATGTCTCACACCTAATCAACAAAGTCTCCAACTTCTTAATTTTCCTAATTCAAAAATTATCTACTTTTCCCCCCAATTAATTTATAAGAAGAATCCAGGGAAAATCTAACCTAATTCTCTCACTCTTGCTCCCATCTAACCAGACCGTTCCAGCATATTTTGTACATCTGGATCACAATCGACCCCACCAACACTCGAACAAAACAATCCACCTAAAAAATTAGCTACGAAACTTTCAGATATCCCACACCAGTTATAGTCCTTGATATCAATCAATAATTTCGAGAGTAACAATGTGAATAGCTTCGAAGAAGAACACGAAGAGGAACGATTATTTCATTCATTTCAAATTACAATCGCAATCTAAATTGCAACCTTTGCGAATCTCGAGTTGCGATGTTTGAAATCCATGTGGGTGGAACAATTCCGTCTATAAACAGCATGAAAGATCATGGTCAAAACGTTTTTCAGAATTGCCCTACCTCCCGTTTAACCTTATTTGAACAATGTTGCTTCACGATCCGTACCAGCTTTCGAATTCAACTCGAAAAACACGCAGATCTCGGCATTATCTTGTACATGATCGAAAATAATTATCGGCTTTCAAGATGAACATGAAAAACGTGCAACGATGCTCGTGACGTTAGCCGGTAATATTCCTCCAGTTTTTCAATGTGTTAATAGCGATTAATCCAAATAGTTTTGTAATCCTCGAAGTGACTCGGAAATGTTAGAAATCCCTGTCGTTCAATAAACGACGCAATTTTCAACGTGACAGTTATACTTTGCATGAGAACTGACAAAAGGAATACGGTCCCTGCACGTTGTTTACAAGTCCTGAAAATTACAGCTGTCGAGGGATGTTTAAAAACGATGACTTTACAATTTTTAGTTATTTAAGTATATCTTGGAATAATGCATTTTTTGTGAGAATTTTTTTTCAGGTAGATAAAACTTGACGATAGGGACTGATATTATTTTTTACTTCTTTATAAATGTACGAGATAAATAGTAGACCTACCATGTTACCCATATGTGGACGCTTAAGTTTTCATATAAATTTCATATAAATCAAGAATTTTTATATTAGAAGAATTCTTATGTTACAAGAATTAGAAGCGTTAATATAACTACTTAGAACTGTGAACAATAAATACAACAAAATATTGTGAAACTATTTGACAAGATTTATAAAGAATAAAAATATCAATAAAATTGTCAGCAGCCTCAAAATGGCAGTCAGCGTATTAAATTTTTTAATTCAGCCCCTCAGGTTATGTTTGCAAACTAAATTTTTATTAACAGACCTTTCCTATATTATTCACCAATTAAATTCATGAAATCTTAGTAAAATTGCTTACAGAAAAAAGAGAGAAGTGTAAACAGAAAGAAAATCAAAGGAGACTGCAGTAAACTCAAAATGGCGTCCTAGCGACGTAGAGTTAGTTACCCTACAATCATAAGTATATTGAAATACTTGTATATGTAGATCGGAATTTCTGAAACAGTTTAATGAAAGAACGATAGTTAAACGAAGAAACGATTTGATAATAGCCCGGATCATGTAGAGAACGATTAAACGGATGACTTGATGAACGAACTTGTTGTGTAACGCCGTGTGTATCCTTATGTAATGACGGCTAATAACACATCGAAATTGCTGTGAATGAATTCGTGCGCTCTATACGTTTCACAGTAATAAAACTATTGGGATTGTTCTTGCAATTAGGAAATACCGTGTCTGATTTATTACTGCATTGACCCTCTGGGAAATCGTGACCTAGGCCTAGAAAATGTACGATGAGGTTTGGATTAGAAGTTCTTCGAGGAAGAAACGTTGGAATGAAATGAACATATAAAATGAAGAATATAAAATGGAGAATATGTAATGAATATTTAAAATGAAGAATATATAATGAATATTTAAAATGAAGAATATAAAATGGACATATGATGTGAAGTATATAAAATGGACACATGATATGAAGTATATAAAATGGACATATGAAATGAAGAATATTAAATGAACACATGATATGAAGTATATAAAATGGACATATGAAATGAAGAATATAAAATGGACATATGATATGAAAAATATAAAATGGACATATGAAATGAAGAATATAAAATGAACACATGATATGAAGTATATAAAATAGACATATGAAATGAAGAATATAAAATGGACACATGATATGAAGAATATAAAATGGACACGTGACATGAAGAATATAAAATGAACATATGAAATGAAGAATATAAAATGAACACATGATATGAAGTATATAAAATAGACATATGAAATGAAGAGTATAAGATGGACACATGATATGAAGAATATAAAATGGACACGTGATATGAAGTATATAAAATGGACATATGAAATGAAGAATATAAAATGGACACGTGATATGAAGAATATAAAATGAACATATGAAGTGAAGAATATAAAATGAACACATGATGTGAAGTATATAAAATGGACATATGAAATGAAGAATATAAAATGGACACATGATATGAAGTATATAAAGTGAACATATGAAATGAAAAATATAAAATGGACGCATGATATGAAGTATATAAAGTGAACATATGAAATGAAAAATATAAAATTGATGTATGAAATAAATGTATAAAATGAAGAGTATAAATGGATATACAAAATGAATGTATAAAATGAAGAAAGTGAAATCAAATTTGAAATGTTCCTTTTCAGTAGGTATACATTGCAAGTTTAACAGGACCTCAATTTTAAATATTTATACTTTACAATGCTACACTTAATACTACAGAATTTAACATTTATTCTGATTCTTTTGCATTAATACATTTATGCATTTATATATGTGTAACATTTTAATATATGAAAAAATAAAGTGTAAAATATATGGTACACACAGAAAAACGAAATAAATAATTTAAATTATATGTATAGAATATAGTATTCGAAATATGTATATGTACATTTCATACATGTATACAAAATGTACACGTTAAATGTACAATTAGTATTTTGTAATTTTTACGTACATGTTAAATGTACAATATACATATAATATGAGTTAAGATATTTTAAATCATTCAATGAGAGAAAATATTTGACAAAATCGTATATTAAATATCCACTATCTGTTTTATCTTAGCTCGATGTATTAAACAATTTGAACCCTTCAAATCACCAGAACTAGATTTATTTCCGACGGTCAAAGATCTGAAATTACATCAAAGTACTTAAGTAATCAGACCGTATTAGCACACGTACGCACAGAATCTAGCTCTAAATAGGTGCACTGACTTCGCACGTGTAATAACGGTATTGTCATTCATTTGCAAGCTTGGTAAAATTAAAAATTCTTGTGTACTATTATTTTCACACATGGTACCGAAAATTGTTTACCTTCATTGTTGGATTGCGTTACTGGTTAGGTTAGATTAGGTTACTGGTTACTGTGTTGAATTTTTGTTAAATTACTGATATTTACCAAATGTATTAAGTCAGTGATATTCATCAGATATATGAATGTATAAATTCTTGATGTTCATCAATTGTATTTAATTTCTAATGTTCACTAGATATATTAAATTTTTGGTGTCCATCAATTATATTAAATTTCTGATATTCATCAGTTGTATTAAATTTCTGATGCTCATCAGTTACATTAAATTTTTGGTGTCCATCAATTATATTAAATTTCTAATGTTCATCAGTTGTATTAAATTTCTGATGTTCATCAGTTACATTAAATTCTTGGTGTCCATCAATTATATTAAATTTCTAACACTCATCACATATATTGAAACAGCGATATTCATTAGTTACATTAAATTCTTAGTGTCCATCAATTATACTAAATTTCTGACGTCCATCAGTTGTATTAAATTTCTGATATTCATCAGTTATATTACATTGTTGGTGTCCGTCAATTACATCCAATTTCTGATATCCATCAGCTACATCAAATTCTTGGTACTCAATCACATTAAATATCTGATATGCACATAATTACGTACATTCACATCACCAACATCTACCAAAATATTAATCGTGTCAATGATCAGCACAACAACAAACAAACGATCCAAACAGAACACAAAAGAAAAACGCGCAGAGAAATCGCCCATTACGCAACGCTAACAAGGACTTGATTAATGGCTCCAGGATTCGCGTTTCAACAGTAAACAAAGTTCATCGACTATCGAGTGTCATTTTCTGAACAAATCCGTTTGAATGACTGGAAATCATCAAATGACCAAATAATTGAAAATCATCAAATGACCAAATAATTAGAAATCATCAAATGATCAAATAATTGAAATTCATCAAATGATCAAATAATTAGAAATTATCAAATGATCAAATAATTAGGAATCATCAAACAACCAAATAATTAAAAATCACCAAACAACCAAATAATTATAAATGAAAGAAATGATCGACCAATGTCTCTCAATCTGTGTATTCATAATTGCAATCAATACCACGAACAACTTTCACCCCATTTAATAAACATGCTTACACGCGCGAACCAATGTCGAAGGAGGGTAACTTGATCGAATTAACGGCTACGCTTGATTTAATTAGCGTAAGCCAATTGTACCAGCCAATTACACAATGTTTCGGATGATTGGTATTAATATGCCTCACTCGCATGCTCCCTGTATTTACCGGCAAATTAACTGCTCTGCCATTCTCGAATTAACTTCCAGACTTCATTTAAGTTCTGCTTTGTTCTTTGAATTAAATTAAATTTTTTATTATCGAGATTTGTTGAGTCATTGGAAAATTTTGTTGCTAATTTATTATTTATATTTTTTGGCAGATTATATGAGAGGTTGTTGGCTTGTTTAATATTTAGAATTCTTTGAGTATGATTTTTGAATTTGTATATAATTTAAAATTTATAAACGTTCGTATTTAAAATTTGCACATTCTCATATATGCTAACATGTTTCAAATTAAAAAGTGTTCATATTTAAAATTTGTATATTTTCATATATACTAACATGATTCAAACTAAAAAATTTTAAATACAAATTTACAAAAGTTCATACATAAAATTTGCAGATTTTCAAATCTGCTACCATGATTCAAACTAAAAAATTTTAAATATAAATTTACAAAAGTTCATATGTATAAAATTTGCAGATTTTCAAATCTGCTACCATGATTCAAACTAAAAATTTTTCAATACAAATTTACAAAAGTTCATATGTATAAAATTTGCAAATTTTCAAATGTACAATCTTCAAAATTTCAAATATATAAACTTAGAATATCCGAACTTTTCAGAGAAATAATTCGAAGATAGACAATAGAGTATCCAATTAAATTCCTACATGCTCGCATAATGTTCTCGGTTACAGTGGTTTGAAGGAAACGTAAGACGATACCACGAACTAGCGACGTGAAGATTAAGAAATAGAAAATTTTCGCAAAATATCCACGAACACCTAATTATTAGGCTCTCAAAATCAGGAAGAAGGCCATTATACGAAATTGTTATAAGCAGCATGATTACTCGCGACGATCTTTGCAGTTGGTATCAAGGGAATAAAGACGTAACGAAACATTATAATGTCCGGCGTATTAGCGGTCTAATTAAATTATGACAAGGACAGCTGCCTTGAATTCCCTGTTGCAATAAGAATTCGCGATGCGCTAATAATCCGTAATCAACGGATGCAACTGCATTGTCGTTCGAGATTAGCATCTCGGTTATTTAGAGAAAATTGAGGACACTAACAGCTGAATTATTGTTCCTTCGAGCAAAACGAAAAAGAATTCAATTTTCACTGTTGGATATTGCAGGATGTTTCTTTAGGAGTTTATCAAATATTTCATTTTGAAATCTTGTTTATTCTTTGCAGGTAAAAATATTCTTATCGCGGAATAATTAGAAAATGTAACTCGTAATGAATATAGAGTGTTTCATAGCTAGTGTAAGTCCTATGGGCAGCTGACGTGATTCTGAATAAAATTTTCCTTTGCAAAAATGGGATTTGAAGCTCCGTTTTTGAATTATTAAGGAAAAACACGTACCAATCAGAGCGCGAGAATTGCGCATGCGCAGACGCGAGAGCGACGGCTTCGAGCAAATTCAAATTTCTGCATTAGAAAATTGGATACGTTAAAAAATTGATAAATTAAAAATATGTAGTTTGTTCATATGAAAATTCCTTACTATTCTTAAAATATAGAATTGTCCTACAAAATTATAATTTTGCAAATTCTTTCTAGTATATTTTTCACATCAGCACACAAAAATTGACCATTTCTACATACGCTTACCATTCCCGCTTTCCCATATTCAAAATACTGCAATTACCGATGGAAATCATGCACGGATTACCACAGCAATAGTAGCAAGATTAATGAGAGTTACGTGAAACTCTTCCCACTTTCATCTAAGCGTCGACAAAGTGAAACTTTCAGTTACCTAAAGACTGTATAATCGTGTCTGAACGTGCAGTCGATTCGTCAAAGCTATAAACTGTGAAAGTCGATGAAAATAAAAGTTGAAAAGTGGTGGAAGAGAAAAAAAGCACGCGATGATTCGTACGCAAACGAGTTGAAATTGTTTTTCTATATCATCGTTTGACCGTATTCAGTGGATTCAACGGAGCGAGGAAATAATTACTCGCGATAAGCTCCGTCGAAAGAGAAATCGAATACTGCAGCTGCACGAATAGAAAAAAATGTGTTCGCTGCTCGATAGCGTGCTATGAATACGATTTTATCACAGAAATTCTGGAATATTGAAAATTTGAGGATTTTTGGGATTCTGGGTATTTTGGGTATTTTGAGGATTTTGGGGATTTTGGGGATTCTGGAAATTTCGGGAATTCTGGGAATTCTGGGGATTTGGGGGATTTTGTGGATTTTAGGGATTTTGAGGATTTTGGGGATTCTGGGAATTCTGGGGATTTTGTGGATTTTAGGGATTTTGAGGATTTTGGAGATTTTAGGGATTTTGGGAATTCTGGGTATTTTGGAAATTCTGGAGATTTGGGGGATTTTAGGGAATTTGGAGATGTGGATACTTGAGAAGTTCTGAAACGTTTAAAATTTGTATGTATTGTAATAATAACATATTAAGCTAGATATCTAGTACCTAACCACTAGGCTACTACTACCGACCTCCCTCCCTCAATGTATCAATTTCTAAACCAGAATTTCCACTGTACTATTAATAAAACATATCACTATCAAAACTATCTTTCCACATTTTATATTAAATATTCCATACCATACTTAAATAGTAATCTCTAATCCCCATGACATATCAAGCATGTCATCTAAAGAATGTAAACAGAACCCAAACCACTTAGATGCATGTAAAGTCGACAAGTAGGCAGACAAATATCCAAACACGTAGCTAGAAGCACGACTTCTTTCACTTCTAGTAACTTGATCCTTTCGACTATTAGATTACCAGACTACCTAGCCTGGTTCTGGCTACCAGATTTCTTGAGTTGTCTCCTATACGCATCCTGAACCTACCAAAGTCTTGAAGAAGAAACAGTACACACTTACCATACAGCGGACCGATCACAACCATAACAACGACCATAAGCACCATCACCCTCTTCTGCCTGTTATTCTGTCCCTTCTTAAACGCCACCCGAAAAGTCTCCTTGATATGCTTGAACGCAAAGAAGTCCACTATCGCGCCACACAAGGACATCTTCTCCGTCTGTTTGAGCCTAACCCTGGGCGCCTCCTTGATCACCACGAGTCCATAAATGAACGTCAACACGTAACACAAGGTCGATATCCCAAAAACACCGTAAAATCCCAGTTTCAAGTACAATATCCCTGACAGCGCCATGCCGATGGGTACACCGAGCGACAAGAAAACATTAGCGGCACCGATCCGAAGCGTCCTCGACTCCACCGACGTGATCTCCGCGATGTAACTGAAAACACCCATGAACATGGTGAACCACCCGCCCATGAGCGACGGCCACAGAGCCTCGAGCACCCCGGTGCCCTCCATGGGCACCTCGTAAAAGAAATACGTGCACAGCAGCATGCTCACGCTGCTGAGGAACTCTCCGACGATGGGCAGCAGCATGCAGGGTTTCCTCAGACCCGTACGGTCGCTCCAGGCACCCATGAAGAGGATCAAGATGGTCGGCAGACCGCTGGTCAGAGCTGTTTTCCAGGTCTGCATGCCGGCGACCAGCTGCTGCACGGCTATCTCCTCGACTTCGTAGCCCGTCGTGTTCCTCATAGCCAGCGCGGTGCACACCTCGTCGGAGTAGGCCAGGTTCACCCTGCACGCCTTCTCCAGGTTCAGGTTCTGCGTCGCCAGGGAAGCTAGCATCGACGGGATCACGAAGCAGGCGATCATGGGTTCCACGGTGATGCTGCTGGTGAAGTAGGACCACTTCTGACGCAGGGTCATGGACTTCCACACGACGGCTTGCTCGGCCACCTGGGTGACCGGGTCACGCTTCTTCTCCGTCGTGTCCACCGCCCCGTTCGGGCTGGTCTTCGACATGTTGGTAGCTGGAATACTCGAGTGTGCGATGAAGTTTACTGTAGATCGTCCTATTCGGTCGCTGACATGATCGAGTGTGTGCAGAAGGTAGACTCAGGTCTTCAGGGATCTTCTACGACGTCATGCAGGGAATGTGTTCTGGGATGTTGTCCTAGATCTTCGGTTTGCAACTTCGTCGAATTTCAGCCGGTCCGCGAGAGACCGTCTGACCGTCTACTTCTGGCTAATGCACCATCGTACATTACGATACAGCGTGCTACCTCTTTCCCACCTTCTTCCTCTCGACCACCTCCTGTAACAGTTTTGCCTCCACCACTTCGTGTTCCCTCTATCTGGCCCCTCCGAGCCACGGAGGGTCCTCTCCACGTGCGGGGAGGTAGCCAAGGGTACATCCACCTAGCCTCTGAACTACTCTCGTTACTCGTCGAAACCTCGTCGACAGAAATTGTTTCTGCGATCACGTCTGACCGTCCACGCTTCCGGTTCCGCTCTTCGACGCTTTTCGGATCAAGGTTAACTTGTGTCGGTGAACGAGGATGCTTCGACCTTCTCTTGTCGTCCATTTTGTTTTCGATCGTTTGGTGAGGGATTTATGGGGACCGAAGTGCTTGAGCTGATGGAGATCTATGGGGATTTGGAAGCTTTAGAGTTGGGAGTTGGAGATTCTTGAGAATTTGGGAGGTTTGAGAGATGGGAATTTTGGGGAGTTTCTTGGGATTGGAGGTTTGGAATTTTGGGGATTTGGCGTTGGGGGATTTGAAGGTTGGAGGGTGATTGGGAATTTGGAAGATTTCAAATTTGAGGTTTGGGGGTTTGGGGAAATTGGGAAATGGAGAAATTGGGAATTGGGGAGATTGGGAATTGGGGAAATTGGGAATTGGGGAAATTGGGAATTGGGGAAATTGGGAATTGGGGAAATTGGGAATTGGGGAAATTGGGAATTGGGGAAATTTGGAATTGGGGAGATTGGGAATTGGGGAAATTGGGAATTGGGGAAATTAGAAATTGAGGAGATTGGAAATTGGAAAAATTGGGAATTGGGGAAATTGGGAATTGGGGAAATTGGGGATTGGGGAAATTAGAAATTGGGGAGATTGGAAATTGGAAAAATTGGGAATTGAGGAGATTGGAAATTGGGGAAATTGGGAATTGGGGAAATTGATAACTGGGGAAAGTAGAAATTTGAAAATTTAGAAATTTGGAAATTTAGGGACTTTGACGAATTTATTTCGGGGCTTTGAAGGTTCAAAAATTTGCAAATTTCAGAACTTACAATTTTTTTTTTTTCACTCACCTAACCTCAACGATTAAGTTGCTTCTATCATTATCTCCCATAACAAAATGGTGGACGTACAGAAAACAAATTTTTACTTTTTTAAAATTAGAACTCTTGTCTCCCTAACTACAAGCTCTTTCGTGTCCAATTAATTCTCCCTAGAATATACCGAATTTTTCCTTACAAATTAAATGCAGAAATTTTATTGTAGAATGTATCGTATCTGTTTAGCATATTCTGTTTCGAATGTGAATAAATGTGGGTCAAGAAGAAACGTGTTTGTTTCTTTATTCGGTATACATCATCGCCTTGGACTTGTCAGGTAAACGTTTTTGTAATCTTAAATCTCGTACTCTATATAGTAACGTGTCTAGTGAAATCGTTCCGCAAATTAATAACATGAATTCTATGAACAACTTGGATTAGCTTTGCTAATTTTTTCCTTGAAACTATTTTGTCTTTTATCGTGAGTTTAACATTCACCGTTTGTGTTTTGTGTTCGTTGTGTGTTTTGTACGTTCTATGTGTGGCAATATAACATGTAGCTTGACAATATGTCAAATATATATTGTAATGTATTGTTATATAATTTTACATTTTGTTGTAATGTAATATAATACATTTTTAATATATATTTTGTTAAATGTATATGCAGTGTAACAGTATATTAAATTATACGAAGATGGCGATATAAGGAGAGTCTACTAGAATTATTATCTAAATACAAGGGTTGGGTCAATAATGAAGTTGAGGTAATAACTCAAATTTAATAAAACACACGAAATATTTTTACATATTTAAAAAAACAAATTAAAACTACAAATTTTGCAATATACTGAAATTATAATATATCATCAATCTGTGGAAAATATACAACGTCAATTTTAATATCAAGTATTTATTTCGATGTACTCAGCAAAAAATCCAAAATACAAAACAAGGTTTTCCCATCCATTACGTATTTCCTAAATTGTCTGCATTTATTTATTTTTCGTACATTCAATGTTAGTGTACTTCACCTTTTTGCAAAATATCGATAATTATTACGGGACTTACATTGAGTCACACTGATATTAACGACTAAAATCATCTGTACAAATAAAATATTATGTAAGGTAAATTCGTGTTATAATTAGCAAAAAATCGTTCATGTGATTATACGTACTTTAAAAGGCTTTTAAAGTAAACTCGATTGTTTATGATTAATTTTAAGATAGTTACAGATGTACGCTTTTTAGTAGCTGTTGAGTGTGACATAAAAACACTTCGTCCAAAGCTCACTTCATACGAGTAGTTCTTTTTATTCTTTTGGGTGTATGTGTTGTACTAGGTATTATTAAATGTATTAAAAATTAATTTAATTGTTAGGAAGTTCATGGAAGTAGGTGTGTAGGCAATATTTAGATTTGAAGAGTGACGCTATGGCAGCCATTGCTAATCGATATACTTCACAACAACAAAACAATTTTTCGATATGAGTATGGCAATTTTAAAAACTCTTGCTTCGACAGGTTATTAAAAATTATTAATATAACAATCCTTAAAAATTGTTAATATATAAAAACCTGCTGAGGGGTGAAGCTATGGCAGCCATTGCTAATCGATATATTTCACAACAACAAAACAATTTTTCAATATCTTGATAATTTTAAAAACTCTTGCTTCGACAGGTTATTAAAAATTGTTAATATAATAATCCTTAAAAATTGTTAATATATAAAATAATCACCTGCTGAAGGGTGAAGCTATGGCAGCCATTGCTAACCGATATATTTCACAACAACAAAACAATTTTTCAATATCATGGTAATTTTAAAAACTCTTGCTTCAGGTTATTAAAAATTGTTAATATAATAATCCTTAAAAATTGCTAATATATAAAAACCTGCTGAAGGGTGAAGCTCTGACAGCCATTACTACCAATACCTTTCAATAAAAAATGTGTTAATCTCAGAATAGTTAAAAATTAACTCTTACACAATTATTAGAATTATAAAATAAACCCATTCTGAAATTACAATCATCCTTATTACTCAATCGCAATACCTAAAATTACATGTTCTACAAGATGACACATCTACTCTTCTCGTTTCTTCCCAAATTGTACTTGCTCCATCATCTCAAACCCTAACGTGCCCCCATATTTCAACTAGCCTATATTTAGCCCATTTCGGACCAGTTACGTCGTATGAATAAATAATGCGAAAGGTTCCGCCGCCCAAATTTTCAAATCAAGATTCATCCGCCACATCTCCGTTTCAGGGTCCGAAAGACCTCAGACACACGTAAACAGTGAGCACCGTTGAAACCGTCATCTCTGGTAGGCCAGAGTCGAGGTGCCGTTTAAATGTGGCAATTTGTTGATAAAATAATCACGAGTGACTGTCTTGTCTTCTACGGAGCCTATTTCAGGCAGGGCCGTCTCCGATGGTTACCTAGAACGACGAATTAAACAGATTGTGTTATATTAAATTCATGCTTGACCTGTCTGGTCCCATAATCACGTTTTCCTGGCCGGTCAATTGTGACGAATTACCAATTACGTCCGTTCGTTCATGCTCGATGCTCTCGAGATTTTTCTAGACCTTCCACGTAGAAATTCGGTCAATGTTACGTTGTTCCGGTTGATCGGCCGCTTTTTAATCGATTTTGGTACCAGGTGACGAGAGAGACCACGAAAGAGGAGTTTAGGGAAGAGATTTCGAGTCATCGGTCGAATCTAGGATTCAACTACGGCACTGCCTCTCAAGTTGACCGTATGACGTCGTCAAGTGAGTAATGCTCGTAATTCGAGCGATGCTATAAAATATTCGATTCAAAGCTATAACAGATCTGTTGTTTTCGTGTTCTACCGTCCGTTGTCCATGAGTGGTCGAACTCGGAACTTCTTGGCAAGGAAACGACCTCGAGAACCTCAAACGCTAAACGTATGCTCAGTCGATGTTGACAAGCATAAATATACAAACCCCTTGTCTTATAATTTGTTAGGTGTGTAATCGGAATTGGTTACAGTTATAGTATTGAAAAGTCGAAATTAAATCACAAAATTTGAACCTATTTTTCTCTTGATATTTCTTTTATCATTAGTGAGATATTCAAAATGGCCACCTTAGGTTTACTCTGTACACTCTGTATTTTGGCCTTGAAAGGTTTTTCAAAATTATACGAAATTAGTTTAATAGTCGATTATAAATATAATAGGACTCTTGTAAATAATAATAAAAAACTACATAAGTGTTTTGATGTATTTTAGAAAATATTTTAGGCTAAGTCTTTTTAGCGTCACTCTTATGTTTTCGCACATGTTCGCATATTTATTACAAATATTTTAAAGTACAGTTTCTGTCTAATTTTGAGTGGGTATTTTTTAATGTATTTGTATATGAAAATGTTTATAATAGTTAACAATAAAAATAACTATTATAAATATCTTCATACACAAACTTTTATTACAAAATAAAGAGGGTGTTTTAAAGATTACTCAGGTTTTTAAAGAAAAGGAAGCATTTTATTTTCCTGTGTCATTAAAGTGTAGACGAGTTTATAAGAAAGCAATTACAGGATAAGTAAGAGTCATGTATTAATAAATGCGTTAGTGTAATATAATGAAAATGTTTGATGAACAGTTTTAGTGAATTACGAGGACCTCGTAGTCTTTGAAGGATAATTCTTCGCCGTCGTAGGGGATGTATAGGCATCCGTGACTTGGTTGAATCTGCAAAACACAATTTTTGTTGTTTATTTTTTATATGTACATATATGGAACGTATATCATATGCAAATCTACTTTCAAACTTATTAAACTTTCAAGTTGTGAAATTTCCAAATTTTCAAATACCTAAATCTCCAAACTTCCAAACAACCAAATTCTTAAGTTCTCAAACTTGAAGATCCCCAAATCTTCATGTACGTAAATTTATAAATTCCCAAATTTCCAAGTGGCTGAACTGTAAAATTCCCAAATCCTTCAGTTCCAAAATTTGAACGTTCCCAAAATTGGAAAACCCTTATTCCTTAAATTCCCAAATTTGAAAATCCCCAAATCCTCAAATTCCCAAACTTGAAAAATCCCAAATCCTCAAATTTCCAAACTCGGAAAACCCTTATTCCTTAAATTCCCAAATTTGAAAATCCCCAAATCCTCAAATTCCCAAACTTGAAAAATCCCAAATCCTCAAATTCCCAAACTTGAGAAATTCCAAATCCTTAAATTCCCAAATTTGAAAATCCCCAAATCCTCAAATTCCCAAACTTGAAAAATCCCAAATACTTGAATTCCCAAACTTGAAAAATCCCAAATCCTTAAATTCCCAAATTTGAAAATCCCCAAATCCTCAAATTCCCAACTTTGAAAATCCCCAAATACTTAAATCCCCACCTCTGAAAATCCCCAAATTTGAAGAACCCCAAATCCTTAAATTCCCAACTTCGAAAATCCCCAAATTCCAAAATTTCCAAACACCAAATTCCACAATGTTCGAATCCACAATAAAATACCAACCTTGCCAACAGTTTGGGATCCATTATGGAGAACACGGCCAACATACAAACGTTCTCCATCGCAGGTTTGTCCTCCGACTACCGCATCGCTTGGTACGCTTCCGTTGCTGCAGAACTCCCATGCGAATTCACCTTGGCACAATACCTATAAAAACGGAAACGATTCTCGTCAGAACTTATTATATTCTCGTTTCGTCATCCTTGACCGTTACGTTCTCTAAAATTACGGAGAAACGGTAAATGTCTTACGGATAAGACGTTTTATTGATTTATTGATATAGAGTTGATAGAGATGACTTCATTTTATTTGGAATCGATTGTTTGAACAAACTCATTTTCTTATCTCTGGTAAGCATTTCCGATTACGATTTTTCAGGTGGAGAACAAACAGTTCTAGGAACTGGTGTGATAAACTTTGTGGTACTAATTGGTGCATGCTGAAGTGTGATATAATAAATTGTGGTTTATATGTAGTGGATTATTTTGAAGTATTAAATACATGAGATTATATTAATATATTAATGTACTCATATACTCACATACTCAATAGACTCATATATTCACATATTCACATACTTACATATTCACATACTCACATACTCACACATTCATATATTCACATACTCAATATACTCATATACTCACATACTCACATACTCACATACTCACACACTCATATACTCATATACTCACATACTCAATATACTCACATACTCAATAGACTCATATACTCACATACTCACATACTCACATACTCACACACTCATATACTCATATACTCATATACTCAATATACTCATATACTCAATAGACTCATATACTCATATACTCACATACACACATACTCACATACTCACACATTCATATATCCACATACTCAATAGACTTATATACTCACATATTCACATATTCACATATTCACATACTCACGTACTCACACACTCATATACTCACATACTCAATATACTCATATACTCACATACTCAATAGACTCATATACTCATATATTCACATACTCACATACTCACACATTCATATATCCACATACTCAATATACTCATATACTCAGATACTCAATAGACTCATATACTCATATACTCACATATTCACATACTCACATACTCACATACTCACCTACTCACATATGTACATTAATATACTAGTATAAATATATTCTACTACAGCAAATTTTAACATAAAAAATTTCATAAATATAGCAAGTTAGAAGATCAAATTTTAATGCAATAAATTTCAATATATTAAATTCTAATATAATAAATTTTAGCATGATTCTAACAAAATAAATTCCAGAACAGTATTATCTGACTACAAAAATCGTACCTTCCATGAATTTATTTTTAAGAGACAGAAATTTCCCCCAATCAAAATTTAAGATAAAAGTAAAAATATACAAGAATACTACAGATTTATCTTTGAAAACAAATGTGGTGGTGCAAAAACACAAATGGCGTGTTCTTCTGAATTTCTTCTACAGCCCCAAGGCAATCGCACAATCTGAGGTTACACAAAGCTAAAGCTTGATGCAAATCGTAACAAATAGTATTCCCATTCTGTAAAATGGCTTTGCCTTGACACGAAATCTCGATTTCGTGTTGCATACGTTAAGAGGCTGGTTAGTTACACCAAGAGATTAAGTTTATGATCGTGAGGACTTATTATTTACTAGAAATCAGTCGAGTGAGCACGTTGATCCTGCAGATTCGCCTTGAACTTAATCGCTTCGACTCTCGAATGGTTTGTAACCAAATATCGTTTATTAGAGGTGTTAGTTCAAGCTTGATGTTTACTTTGTTTGTGGAGGAACTGTATTTTGAGAGCTTTTAATTTTTTGCGAGAGTGGAATATAAGGTGCTTAATATTCTGAAATTTAGGGACATTAATGTTGGACTTTGTCGATGTGGTAGACGAGATATTATGTTATGAAATTTTTCAAATTGACAATTTGTATTTTATCAAATTTATATTTTGTCAAATTGGCAATTTGTATTTTCTCAAATTTATATTTTGTCAAATTGACAATTTGTATTTTATCAAATTACTATCTCGTATTTTCTCAAATTTATATTCTGCCAAATACAAATTTAACGAACAGCAAATTTCACATTTTGACAAAGTTACTTCTAACATTTCTAACATTTTTTAACTTCAGTAATTATATTTCACATCTCTTCAAAAGACTCCAAATTAACAATATTGTATTACTTTCGTTTAAAAGAATTTTGTTGCGACATTCCTTGTTCGTGGCATGAATATTTTTCGAATTAAAAGAAACATGTAGCAAAGAGTTGATTATAGATGAATCCATAAAGATTATTTTAAGATTATGGACCTCGACTACAAATTTCATGGGAAAAGAAATTAAGATCGTAAAGAAAGAATAAAGTTGCTCACTTCGTAATCGTGTTTGGCATGTTCCTCGCCATTGTGGCACACATAGGCTACATTTTTGTCGGGGATCACTTTAGCCGGCAGCATATCACCTGCATGGAAGGCTCTGCCGACGTAGATGGTACATCCATCGCTGTCGCGACCTCCACTAACTGCTGCATGTGGTACACCTTGTGCTGCATTTCGGTGAAGCCATCTGAGAGCTTTAATTGTAGTAATTAGTTAACTTCTTGAAGTCGAATTTTAGTTAGGAGATTAATTAATTCTGACTTTTGCCTCTGATTCTTCGACACGTTCATAATTATGTTAACTGCTGAGGTTTTTTATCAAAAATTCTGGGTTGATCCTTTAATCCTAAAAGCTCGGAAGATTCGAGCATTAAAATTACAGTCTTAAAACCTTAAAAGCTTGACTTTCATAAAATCAGTTTTACAAACTTTTTAGCGAAAAGACCTCCATTCGCTAATACAAAAATACGAAAATTATTTCTGTGAAGCAATTTATCCTGAACAACTCATCATTTTACAATAGATCGTTGGAAAATGTTATGCAACGTGTACAATTACATGTTATGTAATTATCAATAAATAAAAGAATGTAGAGATATACTAATGTTTTATAATATACTGGTATAAGTATACTATATCTTGATAAGATTTTTCCAGAACTTGCTTGATAAGAGAAACTGATAAGGAAAGGCGGCTTGTGCAACGTGTTGCATGTTTATTTTTCTTATCGACACCCTTATGAATTTATATTAAAAATTTTTTATATTATTTAACATGTTGAATATCTTCTTAATTGAGAAAAAAAATTTTTGTTGCGTTAATTTTAATAATTTTAATGTTTACATATTTCGTTTACCTTTCGGATAATTTAATATCTGTGAACACTTGTAATAATAGAACATTAAACGCCATAACGAATGATAACGAGACAGAATTTACAGAATTTTACCAACAAATTATAGTGATTCTTAAATTTTTAATTTGTTACTAATTGTATTAATATCAAAATTTTGACTGCCCCATCATGCATTTATAACTTTAATATTTAATTTATTGCTCGCCTCTTCTATCGATATCTTGCGATAATTACAATATAAAACAATTTGCGATAACAATAAAACAATTTACAAAATAACAGATTTAATAACAATGTATTGAAAGAGGCTATCAAAGTATTAAAAAAGATTCTATAAACTTACCGGGCATGTTGAAGTCTGTCTTGTTTAACACTTCAAAAATGAATGACTCTTATCTTTTACCTGCACCTGATTAAAAACAAGTGTAATCTTATCTCGTGTTTCTATCTGCCTAAGTCGTATGACAGCACTCTTCCCGAAATACAGGATAAAATGATTAGTGATATCATGTTCAAAAGTACCTTTCCGAAAAATAACTTTGACACGAATTAAAGCGAAATCGATAAAGAAGTCGATATCTTTCAAAACTCGTCCTGTATATCAGAAATGATCTCATTTTATTAATCATAATTCTGTAAATTCAAATTTATTAATATTCTGTATAATATCCAATACATAACTTATGCACTGTACGATTAAATTCATTATGTACACCGTTCTTTAACAGGGATACAAATTTTGTCTATGAAGATGTTGGCTTAGAATATGTTTCTGCATATGGGACATGTGGACTTCTGACTTGTGCTAAACCATTTATACTGAAAAGAACAATAAACAGATTAGATGAAGTTTCATTGTAAATCTAGTGAATATGTAGTACATACCAAACACGCAGTATGGAACTTTTTCCTGCACGTGTGACAAGATAATTTCGGTATTTGGTACGTGTTGATATGAAAAATACTGAAACAAATGTAACATTCTTCCACGCCAGCGAATTTCTTGTCCAAGTTCTTTTTCCATAATACTAGCCCATCCCACACAGATCCATTCTACAAAAGACAAATAAACAATTGAGATATGATACATATTTTGATGCAATTATTTGATTAGTATCGTTACTTGATGAGTGAGGAATATGGACAACTGCATGTGACAATTTCGCCAATTTGCAGTACCACCAGCGTGTTGGCCAGGTTCAACCGTGACTGGTCCCAGTGGATGATTCGACGGTAGAACAATATTAAGTTCCAACTTAGTATCATCCATCTGGTACAAAGCAACAACCTCGCGAAACGTCGGATGAACCTTTACTTGCATATTCTCAATGCTTTGCAATTTATTGTTGAGCAGTTCTTCTTCACAAAGCATGGGGCTAACATAATGGGTTGTGATTTTGTCTACTGCAACACTAACTCTGCTGTCAGCGGTACTCCACCATTGCCTTACCAACACTGGCAAATATCTTAAACTGTTTGTGTACAGCCAGCACACTATGTGATCTAACCTCAATTCGGTCCAACTTTCTGTGAGATATTACAAATAACTGTTTAAGTATACCTTTAATTTCATTTGAAAGAAACATGATTGACTTGTTACCTCCAAAATCAAGAGATGGTTCGGTAGAAAATATTTCTACTAGTTTTGCACCCTTGTTCTTATTATCTTGAAGTACCTCCACCGGCATCAGTCTGAATATATTATTTAACAAACTGGGGAAAAAGTTGTCCCTGCAATTATATCTATAGATAACGAATCCTTCACATGTGTTTCTACAAATTTAAAAAATTCTAAACTAAACAAGTACTTGAGTATTTCAGCATATTGGTAAAGTAAGTCTCCATGAGCATTTGAACACATTTCCAGGATAACAGCCCAAGTTAACAAGTATCCTACGGTATATGTATATGAGTCTGTGTATGGTTGAATGGTACAGCTGACTGTGTCACATAATCTATGGAAATATTATAAATTAACATATGAATGAACACTCTATGTACACGTGTTAGAAAGAAAAATTACTTGAAGTCCATCAAAATTGTATTCACGATATTCTGAGTGCTTTGAAGTACATCTTCCATTTTCCTAATGTTCAATGTATGTGGATCGAAGTTTTCGGTTTCTACGATAACTTTGTCTTGACGAACAAGTTCAGGCACCGCATGTTTTAATACATGATAAGCGCCCAACTGTATACTGGCTACAGGAGATTGAATTAATTTTAATGACAACTTAACGGAGTCCTTTAACGATATACTTGATTGATTTTTGAAAATTACGTCTCCGTTTAACATTTTTACGGCTCTCCCTAACTGATCTAACAGTACAACATGTTTCAAAACTGTTTTCTCGTTGTACAAATCTGCGAAACAATGTACGAAAATATTATCTAAAGCCATTAATTACATTACCTGATACTTTATTATAATCTTACCCGTATAATGTATCCAAAATTGAATGATTCCGCTTTGTATATCAGAAGCGAAAACATGTTTCCATTCGTTCAATAATGTTGGTGGCAAATCTGTTTTGTCTTCTTGTTCGTGTTTGTTAATTAAAGTCTGAAATGCACGATAAAGCTGACAAACTGCCACTGTCAATGCAGATACCTGTAACATTAAAAGAGAAGAAATAAATAATAGTCAGTAATTTTTTAAATAAAAATATATTCAATGCAAACCTTAAAGTCGTCGGCATTCCGTTTTGATTTAGTGACCGTAAGTTGCCACATAACTAATGAAATCAGAGTAAAGTTCCAATGTTCATAAGTTAATTTGGAAGGTACTTTTTTAATGAGTACTGTCAATAATCTTATCAGTTCTAATGGTAAACTTAACTTTTCCCATGAAACATGTGAAATATCGCTACAAACATACATACGTATTTTATATTTAATTTAATAAATTTAATAATACTGCAAGAATTAATATATTACCAATCGAGAAGTAATAATGAAGGGTTTTCTTTTCGGTAAGATATTACTTTTTCTAAAATGGTTAAATAGTTCGAATTATCTTCTTGAGTGATAAAGACATTTCTTGCTGCGATTAAATCATACACGTCGTCATCTCTTGATACCAATATGTCTTCAGGACATTGAAATTTTGACAAAACCTGGAATAAGATTCTTTTATTATACACTATAAAATTAAATTGAGGTTAATATTCTATTACCTGTAACCCTTGTAATGTCGTTTCAGTGTTTTTAGCAAATATATCATTAACATTATAATCTTCAAACAATTCTTTAGGTTCTTTCTCCAAGTGTAACTCATTGCAACAAAAACATAATATATACGATAACATACATCCGTAGTTTGAACAATTCCTGTAAATATGTACAGAATAAGTAGTCTTATAAAATGAATCAGTGATTGATGAATCAAAGAGAAATACTTACTGTCTAATATGATTCATAATATCAGTAACTGTATCTTCATTAATATACGTTTGTAATTGCTTAAAACTATCTTGTACGGTTGTCAAAACTTTGTTCACATTATTGTAATGTTTTGTCTGCAACAAATTAACAATCAATGGAACTTGCAAATTGCTAAAATGAAAAAGATGTTACCATACTTACGGATTTGTAATGAGAGGAATAAATTTGTCCCAAGATAATTGAATATAAAATGTTCATCAATAAATTTGTAACTCCCGGTAAATTCACGTAGTGTATTAATACTTTTTCATAGTCAGCTTCCTTTTCTTTGTCTTTCTTAATTGATATTAAGCAGAGATTACTTAGTAAATTTATATTAAATAATGCCCACTTTAAACAGTTCTCAGTATTGTCAATTACAGTACCACTTGTTAATTCGATCGACATACTCTCTTGATGAATTTGTATCTTTTGATCGAGAGACGATACATATAATTTACCACATAATACATCACCATATACAATTATGCCAGTTACTTCGGTCATCCGTGTTATTATATCGTCATCTATTAAGAACGTTAAAATAATTTCTTTCGCCTGTTCATCATTCTCATAAATTTTATTATTAATCACAATTTCAACAAAATCGACTGCTATATCCACTATCACTTCCTTAATGTGTTCCTCGTTCCTGCAAATTATTACATACATCATAAGCACGAAATAAAAAGTGTTTTACATATAACAACAATCTTCTTACGAGTCATATATTTTTCTCCACATATAAGTTGCAAATTTCTTGGTCAAATCAATAAATTCGTTACTTGAAAGTTTTTGAATGGCTTCAAAGAGCCCTTGCTTCCATACTTCTCTCATTGTATCAATAAAGCTAGAGTTATTACTGAAATAGTTTTGTGAAAGCAATTCGAAAAGTGTTTCCAATATTTGCATAGCACCAGGTATCGATTGCTTATGAACCCACGTTAGCGGAACAATACAAGATATTAATTTTGCAAAATCTAATAAACATTCTTCGTTTATGTTATGAAGTGAATTGCATAATATAAATATAATTTCATTAAGTCCACCTTCCTTTATCAATAAATCTAAAAATTACATTAAATTAATCAAAGTTATATTAAGAAACTATAATTTGAATAAGTAAACACTTACTGCCATCATCAGAAGATTCAAAGGCTAACAAAATAAGTTTTTGATTTTGCTCTAAATCAGAATAATTGCCCGAAGCAATTTCTTTTGCCACATCTATTAATAAACTAGTTATTTTTGATTGAGAACACCATTTCTTTATTACTGCATCGTTTCTATGCTTTTTGGAAAGCGCACATTGTATGATGCTTCTGGATGTTGTAATATCTTCAAACTAAAAGTAAATAAATACTGCATATATTCGCAAAAATATTTAAAAAAGTAATCTTACCTGTGTCAATGACTTCAGAATGTCGTTTTTCTCTGAATCATTCATATATTTCATAAAATTAAATATCAATTCTACTATATGTTCAGTTTCTTTCGACGGTTCTACTAACCAGTTTCGCAAAGTCTGATCATAAAAATCGAAGAAGTTTACTTGCGTTTTGAGAGACTCTGACAAATTTTTAAAAAGATCCTCGCTTTCAAAGCATATTATTAATTTATTCAAATATATGATGTATTTTTTCTCAGACTGTTTAGTGATTTGATTTAAGTATTTTATGCATAGGGAATTGACGAAATTATTGAGCTCGGCAAAAAATTCAGCATCAACATTTTCAGTGTTGATAATTTCGGTTTGAGGCTGAGTTGGTCCATCCTCATCAGAACTACAGAATTTTACTTTCAAATTTTTACGGACATGCACAGGTGCAGTTTTCAGTGTAATTAAAAATTCAATTTGAGCATTGTTTGTGTCTATAATATTGAACGTTTCAGAATGCTGACATGCACTTATGAGCGAATTGAATAGTTTATCAAGTTCACTCCAAAATTCTTGCATCAACATAGAATAGGATTTGTAATCATCATTGTGCCGGTTTTTACTCCAATATCGCACTAAGTGAGTAATTTTAGAGAAGAAGACTGATTTTATAGGACTATTTTCTTTTAAACACATCTCTAAAACTGGTATGAGCTGAAATGATTAATTGGCGGCGTCAAATATTTTGTGTACAACAGATAAAATATTTATAAGACAAAGTGTAATGAAAACCTGTTCTTTGAGAAGTGCATTGCTCAAATCTTGATTATTAACATTTAGAAGAATAGAATAACGTAAACATTCAATAAACGATGTCATGATCGCAGTTATTTCTGAACGACTTGTTTGTACGCTTTTTACTGAAAATCTGGATAAAAATTCAGAAGTTTTAGTTATATGTAATTTACTATGTTTAAAATATGTTTGTCGTTAATTACCCTTGCCGCATGTTACTGAAGAAATTCGTGTATAAATTATAAAAATCCATATTCAATTTCGGAAATTGACTAATAAATGGTAATAAATTTGGATATACTATACTGGCACAACATTGCCCTCCACTTCTTAAAACACGCCACAGTTTTGGTAATACTAGTTTCTCCACACTTACTAGACAATACCAGTCCTAAATGGAAATGATTCTTTGTAGTTTAACTAAATTCTATAGTATCAAGTACTATAAAAATATATTTACCTGTATTTTATTTATAGTGACAAGCATACATTCCCATACAGCAGCTAACAGTGCAGGTTCTGTTTCATCAAGATTGTTCATAATAGTTGTTACAGCTTTTTTCTTTTCATCTTGCAACAATATATCTGCGTTCTCAATTATTGATGTTAATACATTAAAGAATGCTGTTTTGACTGGAAGAGCATCATACTTAACTAACTTCCAAAATTTGTTGTTACTTATAATTTTCCTATGAATATCAATCATTTTTTCAATTTCGTTAATAGGAACTTTCCTTAAGAAGACACTGTATCCCTGCAAACTTGCTATCAGCACCCTTTGATATTTTGTTTCCATTTCTTCTGCGCTAAGATTCCTAATAACAAACAGTATAATAATATTCACAATCAAATAATTCACATAATTCACAAAATAATATAAAACATACTTTTGTATAGATAAAGATTGTGCAGTTTGTACAGTGATGTTATCACAAATATATGTTAAGATCTCACTTTGGCAATGCACAATGGCATCGATAACTTTTTTTGATGGAAAGGTGTCCTATGCAAAGAAAATTTTAGATTAACAAATATCCATTTAGTAGATTTCTTTGTAACTATTTGTCATTCATAATAAATTACATTAAATGAATAAGTAGCAGCTGATGCTGCAGGGGGGTATGTGTCATGTTGTGAAGTAAACCAAGCTCCTGCTACTTGTTTCAAATACATTGCTATGCCTTTTCCTACACGTTTTGCAACAGCTGCATGAGCTAATTGTGCAGCTTCTCTTACTCTGTGCTCCACATCTATAGCTAAGGCACAATACAACCGTGGCCAAAATGGTAACATTCCTTCAACAGCTGATAATTCTGATTCTTTACACATTGTAGCAAACTCTTGCAAAGCCTGAAAGTACAAATATTTTTATTTCTATTATTATTATGTTTCATAAGAATAGTCATATCTTACCTTGCACTTTGTTGTAGCATCCTTTTTATTCATTTTCTTTAATACTATTTGAAAATTTGTATCAACATTACTCAATTCAACCTCATTTGTGCTACAAAGGGATAAGCCTGGTAATACAGGTACATATCCTCCATCCTTTACAGCTGAGAAACCAACAAAATTTGGCACAGATGTACCAAGGAGCTCTGCACTTCGGCTACTGTTAGATGGCTAAGAAATAAACAGCAATATACCAATATGTTATTTTTGTTTTTTGACAGATCACATGTCAAATAACAGAAACAAACCTAATCTACATTATAAAATAGTTTGAATAGTTTTATTACAAAAGAAAATGCTCATCAAATGCATATCCTATTGTAAAAATGTGATGAGAAGTTTGATTAATAAACATTTTGACAACTATGAAATTTAACCTGCAGTATTCTTTCTACTTGATAAAACTGTGTTTTATTATCAATATAATTTTTCCCTTACCCTCACATTATTTTTTGTTCGTTGCGCTTGTTTATTCTTCCCCATGATAATTAATATAAGAACGAGAAGTTTTTGAACTGCACATAAATTTGGTTCATTCCGTTAGACCTTTATGTATGTGAACCTTCTACAGCTGATCGCATATTATAATATATAGGTTATGTGATTACTTTTTTAAATCAGTATACCGTATTTTAAAGAATTTGATGAAGTATTAAATTAACTCGTATATAATTTTTATTCCTTTATGCATTTCGATATCAGAAGTTTTTTACAGTATAATATATATGAAAAGTTTATTAGGCATTTTAGACAAAATACGTATAATAAGATACGATGATATACCGTGTATGTATTTTATATTAGGTGTTAGATTTGGCAATAGTATTTTAAAGCAAGTAAGGATTTAATACATTTTACAATAATTTCTTTTTAATTGTACAATTAAAATACACAAGTTTTCCATTGCAGGTTAAGTAATGAACATGATTGTTGGAAACAAACTGGGCCAAAGACTACTATTGTCATATTGTTCTTTCACTTGCATTTATTTCCCTGGTATTCTGATATTACTCAAATTAAATGACAACTTGTACAATGTGGGGAAATACAAATTCATTCCAGTGTTGTTGATTCTGCTCTTCGCAGAGGTGATAAAACTGTTGTTCCCTATGTTTCATTCTGAATCAACAATTATAGCAAAGACCGAATTAAGGACATCAAAAACCAAAAGGACTTGGTCTAGATATGTGAAGGAAGTTTTCAAATTTATATTAATTGCATTTCTTTTGTCTGCTGCATATTACATTGTAATTATATTATTTGGTGCACCTATACTGGCACAACACGAAGAAACTACCATGCTTACCATTACATTAACTAGCCTCACATTTATTCCTGCAAGTTTGCACTTAGGAGTAGACAGTGCATTAGAAATTATGACAGGAGTGCAATCACAAAAAGGTAATGTTCTGGTCGATGCTATGAAAACAAATATTCAGGCAACCCTTTTGGGTACTTGGTTAGGTGCTTTTGTAATTCCATTAGATTGGGATCGACCATGGCAAGTTTGGCCAATTCCTTGTGTAATGGGAGCTCTTCTTGGCTATACAGTTGCACATTTTATTACTCTTATAAAGACATTACCTATGTTAAGATTAGGTAAAAAAGTTCATAGATAAGTATCAACAATTATTTTAATACATATATAGTAATTTATTTCAGTACAAAAATTTCTGAAATATCTGATCTCCTGTATTATAGTACTGTTGGAACTAATAACTATTATACAAATGCTGCATTTCAAGCAACATATTACCAAGAAGAGTTTCATTTACAACTCATTCAAAAGCTGTATTATATTTTATGCAATGTGATATGTACACAGAATATGATTTCTGAATCCAAGTTGTGAAGGCAATAATAAAAATTGTTTTGTACAAAATAAACACTTTGTCTGTAAAAAGTCATGCTGGGTCATATTACGTAAATCTGCTAATAGTTGTGCAACTTCATGATAATTAGTTGTAAGATGATAATGTAATAAATCCAAAATCTGTTAATAGAAATTTATCATGAATTTTTTTTATAAATAAATCAACATGAAAAAAATATTTTAAAGTATTAATCTTTCCTATTTCAATATAATTTATGTGTAATATTTTTTAATGAAAATTATATTCATTATAATTACATGTACAATAAAATAATAAGGATATTATCATTAATAAATAAGGTTGTTAATTAAGATCAAAGTTTTTACAATCAAATAGAAAATAATTTATTCAGATATTTTAAAAAACGAGTTTTCTATTTTCAAAATCAATTTGAATTGTTGTAGATTAAACTATATCGTAGTATACACTAGATGTCAGTAGCATTAATGTAGTACTGCGTGCAAATTACGACCTTGAATTCATTTAGTTTTATCGTCAAGTACATCAGGACCGGCATTTTAATAGTAATCGGTGTTCTGTTCGTTCAACTTCTATCGTGTCGTACATTGTCAATTAACAATTTGAAATTGTTCATTATGTCGAGCACTGAAGGAAAGGTACTTGTTTTAATTTCGTATTATTTTTAATAAATAATTGCATTTAGAATTATATATAGTATCTACGTTTGGCGGTTATTTTTTTTGAGGTGAAACTGATGAGTAGAATATTTTGAATTTTTTAGGTAATCAAATGCAAAGCTGCAGTAGCATGGGAAGCAAAGAAACCTCTTTCACTTGAAGAGGTTGAAGTTGCTCCACCAAAGGCACATGAAGTAAGAATTAAGGTTGTGTCTGTAGCTTTGTGTCATACGGATGCTTACACTCTGGATGGATTAGATCCAGAAGGAGTTTTCCCATGTATTCTTGGCCATGAGGGTAGTGGTATTGTTGAAAGTGTTGGAGAAGGAGTTACAGAATTTCAACCTGGTATTACTCTTGTTTAATACTGTATTATATCTACTAATTAAGACAGGTATTATATTTTTCATATCATAACTTCAGGTGACCATGTAATTCCATTGTACATTCCTCAATGTGGAGACTGTAAGTTCTGTAACTCTCCAAAGACAAATTTGTGTAGCAAGATTCGTGCTACACAAGGAAAGGGTGTGATGCCAGATGGTACTTCTAGATTTACTTGCAAAGGAAAGACAATTGCTCATTTCATGGGTTGTTCAACTTTCTCAGAATATACAGTAGTAGCAGATATTTCTTTGGCTAAGGTATTTATTGCACATACATAGGTTCACAATTATCAACTTCTATTAATGTTACAATAAATGTATTATGTAATATTAGATCGATCCTGCTGCACCATTTGATAAAGTATGTTTATTGGGATGTGGAGTACCTACTGGATATGGCGCTGCTCTTAACACTGCTAAAGTAGAGCCTGGAAGTACATGTGCTATTTGGGGATTGGGTGCAGTTGGATTGGCAGTTGCGTTTGGTTGTAAGAAAGCTGGTGCTAAGCGTATCATTGGAGTGGATGTGAATCCAAGCAAATTTGAGTATGGTAAGAACTTATTAATATAATCATCTTTTTATGAATTATAAAAGAAAGTTAAGTTATGATATTTTTTAGCTAAAACCTTTGGATGTACTGAATTTGTGAATCCTAAGGATCATAACAAACCAATTCAAGATGTTCTGATAGAATTAACTGACGGTGGATTAGATTATACTTTTGAATGTGTTGGTAATGTAAATACTATGGTAAGTTTTGATCACATTAATTAATATTGGATATTTGTAAAGAAGGATAATTGATTGATCAAATATTTTTTAGAGAGCTGCATTAGAATCTTGTCATAAAGGTTGGGGAACATCAGTTATTGTGGGTGTCGCTGCAGCGGGTCAAGAAATCAGTACTCGTCCCTTCCAATTGGTGACAGGACGAGTTTGGAAAGGATCTGCATTTGGCGGTTGGAAATCAAAGGAAAGTGTACCTAAACTCGTCAAAGAGTACTTGTCCAAATCGTTGATTCTTGATGAATTTATTACACATACTCTTCCGTTTGAAAAGATTAATGAAGGATTTGATTTATTGCACTCAGGCAAATGGTAAGTTTTAAAGGTCCTAGTTACATTGATATTGCTATTACATCTTTGCTAAAATATAATCTGTTTTATTACAGCTTGAGAGCTGTGCTACAATATTGAGGAAGTATGTTCATGGATGATCTGTACCAGTTTTTATACTAATTGTGAAGAATGCATTTATACAAAATCTGTAATATATATTTTGAATAAAACAAGCGTTAATAGTGCTTTTCCAGAGAATGCGCACGTTAATTTGAATTTTTTATGAAGCTTAAATTATTATTTAGTGTAAGGTTTGAAATTACTCCATCTCCCAGGTTTCTACAACAATCTTTATTCATAAAGAATTCTTACAGCCACATGTACAATACCAGTTTGGTGAAATATTAATAGTAGCTCTGGAATGAAGTAAAAATTCTTTACGCTTTGACCAGGTGCATACCTTACAAAAATCATCACTGTACGAAGATCATAGACGATTTTTTTCCCCATTGTATATAATTATGTATATACAATATGCAAGACTTTCAGTAAAACTATGTACGGTTGCTTGAAAGTTAATATGCTCGTTAATCTAAGTCGACAATATAATTAATAATAATTCAGGCTGAATATAAATTGCGCTCGACGTAGCAAAGAGTTAATTAATTCATCGCGAATGAGGTTCCCGTACACCAACACAATGGCGACACGGTGGATTTCTACGAATTCTTATTTTTATATAATGCTTTCGAGACGATGCGACAATCTATGTTACTCGTTAAAATACAATTGTTCTCGGAAACAATTTATGCGAAACAACAAAACACAGTACTCGACCGTCGGTGTAAAAGTATCTTATTGACGTTCTTTCTATATTTTAAGTGTTACAGAAGAAATACAACGAATCCTGCTGTTCGATAACAATAAGTACTAAAATTCAAAGTACATTATACCCCTAATTAACAGTACATCAGAACGTCGAACTGGTTTTTGACGGATGCATCAAAGTAAGTGCATCAAAGTAAACATGCGTTAGGCTTAAAAACTTAATCTCAATGTTATTCCTTCTAGATGAGAGATACGTATAATTTGCATTGGCTATTCCTACGTAAATTGCCTTCTAATACTAGGGCATATTCACATAGTCACACCGATCAGTTTTTTTCTACGGATTACATGTTATGTATATTCTAGTACCTACGGTGTACCACACACTCGTTAAGTAAAAGTCGTAAGTAAAAATGCTTATAATTACAGTAAACGCAGACGAATCACGACGGGTCGCTTACACAAAAAAACATACTATTCATTTTTTATTTCTACGAAGTAAAATCATGGACAGAACGATTTTCAAAGAATACATGTATAGAGAGCGAGTTAATTATTATTTAAAATAACTTTTTATCTATTAACTGTATGAAGAAATGTTTTCAGTGAATTATTTCTAAAGATGTATTAGATGAATTTTATTCTTTCATACGTGATATTTTTTTAGATATCAAATACTTGCACTATTTGAATATTTGAAGGTCAATTTTCTTTACGCAACTTTGCACAATTGCCTGTGAAATGATGTTGAGTTCTTGAATTTAAAAATCAGAAAAATATTCAAATTGGATTAAATACTTTTATGGTTTTGTTAAAGTATAGTGAATATTTTCTCTGAGTTTAAGGTTCAAGGGCAATCCAACATCATTTTAGTCTTATCGTAGACTACAATGCAACATTAAAAAGAAATTGAACTGGAAAAAATTCAATGAATACTTTGATATCTCAAGAAATGTAAGATCAAGTGTAACACAATTTATTTGAAATTTCCTTGAACCACCAATAGACAAGGAGTTATAAGAAATAATAGTTGTTTTATTGAGTATTTATCAGACCTAATGGAGTTTGTAATTACGTATAGGACGAATGGTAACAATTTCTTTCGCCGTCGTGATCGAGCCGCGACGATTTAGTAGTTAGCGAGTACGAAATAGGTCATTCTTTTATGCAGTATATCTTACACTAAATCTCGCAACGCAAGATGGCTACGAGAGAAAAGAAAATAAAAGTAAGAAAACGTGTTAATAACCGTGAAAGAAATAAATAAGCGTGGGTGACGCGAATATCTGTTGTTTCGGCGTATTCACGTTTTCTTGCGAATAATCGTTAAAAGGTGCGCGAGATGCTGAATTAAAACTATCCTTGTGATTCGGATATATGCGAATACTTCCGATACTCTCTATATCTTTAAGCGTGTGCATCTCTCTAAGGGCGTGTTTCGTGTCCGCCGACGATCAGCCGGATTTTCTCTCTCAGCCAGCTTGTCCTCGTCCGCTGTATTATCGTAAAGTCATAGACAGTATCATATATATATAATATATATATTTCTTTATATATATGCATTATACTTAGACGTTACAATCCGAGACATCGTTAATCTAACGCGGTTAGAAATCATAATTACATAGAGCATTCATTTTCTTCTCCCCGTATTTTTAAAGGTATAATCTCTATGCGTCATGGAGTGGACATTGTGAATTTTACCCGATGGAGGATGAGCTTGTTTTCTGTTCCCTGTTGCATCGTTTATCTCCTCTCGTCTCATCGCGCAAACTTCTACTTTCTTTCACGCATAAATATAGTTCGTCGACGTTTCGTCTCTTCTATTGCACTGATGTTTACCCCCTCGGTTATTGCACTGTTTAAGCTTCCTGTTGCCCAGGAGATTCTCTGATTCAGCAGCTTCTTCACCCGTTTGGCACTTCGTGTTTCTTAAACAGCTCAATTTGGATCAATCGGAAAATGTCATCGTTTCTTGGTCAAAACGACCAACTGGATATCTGTAAAGGATCAAAAGAGGATGTGTCAAGTGTTACGATGCCAGGGTATTAGCTGCTAATCCTCCCGCTTTTCGTTGCTCTCCGAACTGATTTTAGGCTCGCGCAGCCGTCGTTTGAAGACACTTCCGATGACAACGGATACTCAAAACCAGCGGACGACCGGGCGAGATTTTTCTCGATTCTCCTTCACAAGAAGAACCTCGTCGTCCGGCTGTTCGATATCACGTCAAGGTGCTCGCTTTCGGTTACTGCCGCTGCTGTTGCTGTTACTGGTTGGTTCTAAGGGGTCTAAAAGTCTAATGGCTGATCGGCAGACCCTTCGAGGTCCTGGGCGGAGTCTGTGCCACCGTCTTCGTCGTCGTCCAAGTCCACGCTGTTCGTCTTCAAGCCTCCGTTGCTGATCTTGTTCACGATCGTGTCTGAAACCAACCAACAATTTTCAGTATTTTATATAACACGTCTTTTATTCAAAAAATGCTTACCGCAATCTGGCATGCTGCCACGTGTTCTAGTGCCGGCGAACTCCACACCATGAGGATCCACGCACCAGCATAGCCCGAGACCGCGATGACACTGGGTGCTTCGATAGTACCCTCGGGAATCGCAGGCTGGAGCCACGTTGGGGGATGATCGCTTACGAACGGCGGCACACGGACGCTCAGCCTTTGAGAAACATCCGCACCACTCGGGACCACTTACGAAGATGTCTCTGAAATTTTTGCGATTGGTAAATATTGATAGGAACCTGATACCAGAAAATTGGGAGCCTTGTACAGGGAATATTGGTGCTATTTAGATTGGACTCATGGGTAATATAAGTTGTATAGCATAAGGGATGTAAGATAGCATATCCATAAGTTAGGCTATATACAATTTTCTAAATTTCTAAGTACAAGAGTCTAAAATTATAAAGTTTGAAAATTTCCAAAATTGCTAAGTTTGAAAAACATCCAAACCCGATAAAATTCTTTTCTTTCAATTTCGGACCACTCGAGCGTTGGATGAAATAATAACTACAACGGATCTCGTTTCCATGTTCTCGCGCAGAAATCAATCGCCGTCGAATGAAAGTTTCACACACGTTCGTCTGCCTCTCGACAAACCAAGCCACTCGGTTCCATAGGCACGTACGCTTGAGACCCATTACGTTCGAGCGTCAAGCCCCTCGAAGGTATTAAAAACTGAAAGGGTCCTCTCCTCGTTCCCTTTTTTCGACTCGCGCGAACTCTAATGATTTACAAGCAAATAGATGTGCCCGCGTTGAAAAAAATAGTGTCGGGGATCCGTGCGAAATAGGTGTCTCTCACCCGTCGGTGTCGCAGCCATCCAAAAACGGTTTCAGGCAAGGCTCGTTCTGATCGTGTTCGAGTCCGTACAGTTCCGAAAGAGACAATCGGCCGTCATTGTCGCTGTCCAAATGTCCGAACATCCACCTGACCTCGCTCTGGCAACCGATGGGGAAGTGACCTGGAAACGGTGCAAAAATCAAATATGAATTCCACCGGTAACCTCTCTTTCCGAGAATGGAAGCAAATGGATTATAAATATCGACAGCTTTGCATTCGGATTACAGGCATTTCCGTGGAAATTTGTTTTAATCGATCATCGAATTAGAGCGTAACGGTACTTTGGAAATTACATATTTATGATATTATATTTCTACACTTGTTAATTATCAAATTTTGGCATATGGGGATATTGGGATCTAGATATATTTGGAGATCTAGGCATATTTGGAGATTTAGGGATATTGGGCTCTAAGGATATTGGGCTCTAGAGATATTGGTCTCTAGGGATGTGGGGCTCTAGGGATATTAGCATGTAGGGATATTGGGATCTAGAGATATTAGGCTCTAGGGATATTGAGATCTAGAGATAGTGGGTTCTAGAAATATTGGGCTTTAGGGATATGGGGCTCTAGGGATATGGGGCTCTAGGGATATGGGGCTCTAGGGATATTAAGATCTAGAGATAGCGGGCTCTAGGGATATTGGGCTCTAGAAATATTGGTTTTTAGGGATGTGGGGCTCTAGGGATATTAGGATGTAGCGATATTGGGATCTAGAGATATTGTGCGCTAGGGATACTGGGATCTATGGATATTGGGATCTGGGGATATTGGGATTTAAGGATATTTGAATCTAGGGATACTTGGAGATCTAAGGACATTCGAGGATCCAGAGATATTTGGAGATCTATGGATAATTGGGGGTTTTGGGATATTTGGAGATCTAGGGATATCGGTACATCATCACATCGGTATTAAGGTTTATCGATACTTAGGGATATTGGTATTTTTGCAATATCTTAATAATTAATCAATTAATAATATAAATAAATTAATTAATTAATAACATTGCAATGTTTAAAGCCAACGGTATCTAAGGATACTGGAACCTAGTGATATCGGCATTTCGTGCTACAAATGTGTAGAAACAGAAGTATCAAGGAATATCAGGTCCTATGGACATTGAGATTCAGGGATATAAGATCTACTGATCATACTGATTTACCGAGTAGAATCTAGGACTATGAATTTAGTACCATGATTTATGAACATAATCCTTACGTATACATCGTAGAAAGGCAAAACTGTGGATAGTTCCACGGTAATTCATCAATTTCGCTCGGGACAGAATTGATAGGAAGGTCGCGTACAAGAACGAACGGAGACGGTAAACCATGGTGAAAGTTTCGCGGGGTACACGGCAAAGTAATCGTAGCAGATCAGGACGAGAAACGATTCATTCTAACGGGACAATTCTGAACTGGTACGAAAGCGATTGCAACGAGTAGCGTGCAACGACGCGACGTGAGATAGTTCCGAACTATGGTGCTGGATCCTGGCACCGTAATGTCCAGAGAGAAGTCCGATCCTTTCGTGCCGAGCAATTAGTCTGTTGTATATTCAACTTCGGTCGTCAAACTTCCTTCAGTCATTTAACTGCGAGCCACGAGACTTCGGATTGTTCGACGATTTGAATAATTCGGATAATTTGAATGTTCGACGCGTTTGTATTTAGAGAGTTTCGGACATTTTGAATATCCGGACGTGTTCTTACGTTGCGAGGGTTTCGGGTGTTGCTCTTCTTTCTCGTTGCACTGTTTAGGATGCTTAACAGTACAAAGTTCGTACGATGAATAACATTACGTTTCTGTAGGATGTCCGACACCCGTGCTTTCGTGTTACGTCGAATACAACGAGGGTATTTTGTACCTCCAACGTTGTGAAGCTTTATACGGCACTGTCATTTTACTCATGCATTTAAATAAACTAATAACGAACGGACTAAGGAAAATTGGTGTTCCTTTAGGGTTCATACCTTTCGGCTTAGGATGCGGACGACGATGTTTAGAGTCAGCCATGACAACGGAGAACCAATCCAAGAGACGATTCGCCATAGCAGGCTTCGACGACGGCGGACAATCGGAATTCCTTGACGATTGAGAGCTGTAGGTCGACTTCAACGGAGACGGTGTTTTCTCCATCACCTCGTTGCTCATCAGATGTTTATCGTCGTATTTGCTGCCGGCCAGTGCCTGGAACACGCGTCAACAGAAACATTAAAACGAGACCGGCACTCCTGTCAGAATTGTCGTTGAACCGCGCTCCTTTCGAATTAATTAAACGTCCCATTGAATTTTAATTTCCTGCTCGTTGCGTGATTCCTTGTTTCAAAAATTGCTTCGTTGCCTGCATAATGTCCGCGATACGACGGGGCAGATGCTTTTACGTTTCGTTTCTAATTAATCATCGCGCACGCGTTCGCATGAAAACGTTAATAATTTTCGTGTTCGATCCCGCAACGAATTTCGCTCATCAGGGATCCTTTCAAACGAAATCTGTGGCTAATGAATAATCAATTTCGCGCTGATTAGTGTTATATCGCCTGGCAGTGTATTGGCATGCGTTATATGGCAGGCAGGTTGTTATGTGTTACATGGCATAATCACTACGGGTTACATGGCAATTATTTGTATTACTATATTATATATTGCCATCATTTATATCGTCATGCGTTATATGACGAATTTGTGTTTTCTCGGCTTATATTGCCGGGCGTTGCATTGTCACGCATTGTACTACCTCGCATTGTATTGCCATGCGCTGTATAAACTCGTGTTATAGTACATTCTGTTATATTGCCACTCGTGGAGTTACCTCGCGTTGTATTGTCACGCGTGGAGTTCCCTCGCGTTATATTGCCACGCGTTGGAATACTTCGTGTTATATTACCACGCGTTAGAATAGTTCATCTGTGTAGCAACGTTACTGAAATTACTCTAATCAAACATCAAACTTGACCCACGAGATGTAAAATAATTGTTTTATACCGTTGATAAACTATTTAGCTCTGAAATGAGCATCGCTATTTCTGCCATGGCAATTACAGTATTAATAAATTATTGCTTCATCGTGTCTGACTATATCTATCCATTTCCACTGCGTCGGTCAAGCTTTTAAGCTCGTAAGCTTTTAATAAGCTTGTAAGCTTTCAATTTAGTACTTTACATCGTTAATGTAACATCAATATTGTAGCAAGTTTATCTTCCCATTTCTATGATTAATTATCCGGTCGGATCATGCGGAAGTCTTGGAACGGTTTCGTACATTAATAGCTTTCTTAATTTTATATTTTCGTTTCGAAAATCTTTGTGATTTTATAGGGAATCATAGATTCGTATGTTGATCGGTAATTCATGAATCGAGTAACGTAATGTTTGTTACGTATTCACATATTAATTATACACATATATTAAGTGAAAATTACATACGAATGCAATGACTATAAATGAATTATATATATGTATATTGCATTTCTATGCATATACATATATAATTTCTATTATGTACACATCACGTAGAAAGTACTAAACGAGTTACAAACGAATTGTACCGAAATTAAATAGAAACTGTATACAAATTGTATACGAATGATATGCAAATGATGTACGAAGGTATTGCATGTACATTTAAGGTAGTCAGGGGGTGGTTTTGTTAGTTTATGTACATCGTCGAGAGTAAGGGGTTGCAACCGGCCGTAACGACGTTACGGCTCTCCGTCGTCGGGCGACGCTTTCCGTCGGATCGATGGAAAAGACGCCTCGTCTGGGCTGCTTGAAAATACGAACCATCGACGTGGAGGGGTTACGATCGACCAATGAGAAACCTACCACCGTCCAAGGATACTCGACGTCCTTGTAAAAGGATCGAGGTCCGATCCTCTCTGCCTATCGTTCCGGCCATCTAACTATTTTTAAACGTTTAATGCCCAAAGGGATCACAGTTAATCAGGATCTAACTAAATTACCCTCTAACTTAATTGCCCCCGAATTAGATCACTTGTACCTAATTAATCTTGCGCTTTGTACTACTAACATAATTGTTCCGTTACCGATACACCTAATTGCGCAATATTACGCTTGTATCGTACACTTTTCTTATAGTGCAATTTACAGAGTTGTACGAGCGGTTTAAATTTGGAAATATATTATATTGTTCAAATGGTCGAAGTGGCGATGTAACGCGAGGTAATGTAACGCGTGATTGAACAACATATTGCAATATAACGTGAGGTAACTTCACGCATGGTGATATAACACGAGGTAACTCTACGCGTGGCAGTATAACGTGAGATAACTCCACGCGTGGCAATATAACGCGAGGTAACTCCACGCGTGGTGACATAATACGAGGTATATCAGCAATTTACAGAGTTGTACGAGCGGTTTAAATTTGGAAATATATTATATTGTTCAAATGGTCGAAGTGGCGATGTAACGCGAGGTAATGTAACGCGTGATTGAACAACATATTGCAATATAACGTGAGGTAACTTCACGCATGGTGATATAACACGAGGTAACTCTACGCGTGGCAGTATAACGTGAGATAACTCCACGCGTGGCAATATAACGCGAGGTAACTCCACGCGTAGTAATATAACGCAAGGTAACTCCACGCGTGGTAATATAACGCGAGGTAACTCCACGCGTGGTAATATAACGCGAGGTAACTCCACGCGTGGTAATATAACGCGAGGTAACTCCACGCGTGGTAATATAACGCGAGGTAACTCCACGCGTGGTAATATAACGCGAGGTAACTCCACGCGTGGTAATATAACGCGAGGTAACTCCACGCGTGGTAATATAACGCGAGGTAACTCCACGCGTGGTAATATAACGCGAGGTCCACGCGTGGTAATATAACGCAAGGTAACTCCACGCGTGGTGACATAACGTGAGGTAACTCCACGCGTGGTAATATAACGCGAGGTAACTCCACGCGTGGTGACATAAACGAGGTATATCAACGCGTGGTAACATAACGCGAGGTAACTCCACGCGTGGTAATATAACGCAAAGTAAATCCACGCGTGGTAATACATATGTGTTCACTAGTAAATATGTATGTATATGTATATGTGTTCACTAAAATACCATGTATGTATATTACCACGTATATCAGTATACCATTAATACACCGATGAAAAATGAATTCCTTTCACTAATTAAAAAGTGGTTTATCCGAACGCTTATTTCGAAGGAAAAGTCAATAAAGGTGAAATTACCCCTGTTTTTCAACCCCCTCCCCCTGCTTTCCTAAAGGGTACAGCGTAATAAAGAAACCAAGGTTGGATAAGTATTAATTACCGGTGTGGCAAGGAATAATTTAAGAAGGCTCCCCAGGATTAATTTCACTTCGAACAGCTTCTCGAATTAAACTCTCTTTCTTCCACTTTCTCTTACTCGAACGTCTTTCTCTCTCCCATTCGTTCTAACCTATTCATCCGTACATTTTCCTTTGGTTGTTTATCTTCGATCTCCTTTAGCGATTTATTCCTTTTCTTCCATTCTTTCGCAGTAAACAAACGCTATAAATAATAAACAAACTATAAACTATGAGACCAGATAATGTTCTTATAATCATGTGTGAACATATGTAACCTGAAGAATGCATAACATATGTGCAATACAAGAAATATACTCTTTCTTGAATAATTATTTCAATTCAGAAAATTGATCAAAACTATTTTTTATTTGTTTCATTTAAAAAAATCATGGATCAAGTATGATTTAAAACTTCAATAAAAGCAGTCAATAATTTTACTTGAAATTAAATTTGATCATCGAGAAATAAGTATTGTTTTTAAAAAAGTAGCTTCATTAAAATACACAGAAGTTTCTAAAAGTTCAATAGTTCTTTATTAAAGTAAATTCTTACATTAAATCAGTAAAAGTAAAAGTAAGAAATATAAATAATTTAATTTCCTTTCTTTATAAATTCTAATTATATCGATTTAATTAGTTCAGGTTAAACATGCACGATTAAACATCCAGCGAATAATTATTTATCGTCGGAAACGATTGACTGTCGATTCCGACGAAGTCACTGAAACGAGGATCGTAATTTCTCGAGGGTTTAAACTCGAAAAGGAACGAAATCGCATTTACCAACGCCACGCCGGTGATCACAGACGCAAAGTGTAGAGATCAGCACGTCGCCAAGCAAAAAAGCAAAATTACTCGCGGAAGATCGTGGAAATTAATTAAGATCCCCGAAAGGAAATCCACCAACGATCGATTTTCAGATCTCAGAAACGACCGCTGATTACCGGGACGCAGAACTAACTTCCTCCGGTCTCTCTAATCCTTCCCTCCATTTTCTCCATCAGTATCATGAGATCCAGGACGTCGAAATCCTTGGATTTACGGCTTGGATAATTAAAATTGAATTTTTTCAAAGCGAGATTAACGTTTGCTTTACCAAAACCCACGTTCATTTTTGACTTCAAATTCATTCGTTTGAATTTTTTGATTTTTTAATTTTTGAGGAATTTTATGCTACGTGAAAATTAAGAAAATTATTGAAATTTTTTATTCTTTAAAAAATTTGTTCTTTCAAATTTTTGTTCTCATAGAAATAAGTAAGCAACATGATTAACTGGTACATTACAGAAATTCACTTATTTGGTAAATTTCTAACAATTATTTTTTTCAAGTCATCCACTTTTTCCAACCCTCGCTGTCGATGCAAATTCATTTTTCTTCAAGTTGCTTTTTATCTTTCTTTAACTTTTGTTGATTTAATATAATCATACTGACAGAGGTATTAGCTTTGTATGTTGTATAAAACAATTTCCGTAGACTTTAATGAAAAATAATCTTCATCTTCATCTTTTTTATCGTATTCCCTACAGTGTCCTACATAACCTAAAACCTAAGACAACAGCAAAAATTTGCAAGAAATTTTGTCCTCAGAATGCTGTACATAATTAATGAAAACACTAATGAATTAACAGGTAACTTGAAAAATTTCAGATCTAAAGGAAACTTGCATCAAAAAGTTTAAAACAAAGTTCATAGTCGTCCGCCATTTTGACTAAACGCGTTTCGGCCATTTTGTGCCGCCGTGTATTTATCTTTTTCCATCGAATAAATAAGTCTTAAGATTTCCGGCAAAAGTTTGAGCCACAATATCAGCCTGTCAAAATTAATAAGTCGGTAGACAGTTGTTTGCGCAACGTCACCGCTGG